ATTTTACTATTTACCATATTTTTTAATTCATTTATTTTCATTACGGGGAATTATTTTATTTTCAAACCCGTTTATAACGAACTCAGGGTGATCGGTCAATTCGTTCGTTCTAATCTAAGTTCGTAATAAGAAAGACAGCTGAAGTTTTTATATATCAAGTGTCATGAAAGTGTCATTTTCCGCAATTAAGATAATATGAATTATAAATTTATTTCATAAATAAAATTGAAATTTTGAAATAGTACTAAATTATAACCAGAGAAACCAAAATATACAAATGCTTGCTTTTTATGGTGCGTCGTATGAACTCATGGATAAGATATTTACACGTTTCAAACCAATTTAAGAACTTTGACATCGATTTGTTGGCGCATATTTTTGCATAGTTTTGCTTGAAAAAAAGTGTGGAAATAGATGTAGTATTTTCATCACAACTGGTAACTCGAAGTTCTTCAAATTCGGGTGAAAAACCTAGGGATTTTAAATTAGCTTGTCATTGGAGGGATTTGGTTCATTTTTAACAACTTTGAACTACATCTAATCTTATTTTCATAAGCAGTAAAAATCCGAGATATAGATGTCAAAAATAAATTACACCCTTTCAATGACACGCTTTGGTAAATTTCATTGGGTTTTCATCAAAATTTGATGTAATTCGAATATGTATGTTATTTGTAGTGACTTTTCTTGTTTATAAGTGTTTATATGTGAAAAATATGAAATCTCATTTTTAGATGTTATTTTTTGCTGGGTAGTAGCATTAGTTAGTTTTTTTCCTTTATAGAAACATACTCTTGAAATTTGTTTCAAAACGTTATTTTTAAAAATTAAAATTTTATTCTAAACTAATTTTAAATCGTTTTTTTAATTAAAAATAAAACGTCATTTGTACCGTTTGAAAACGGCAAAAAATACATAATATTTTAATAACCCTTCAGCAAGACCTTCTTAAAAGACGTCAACGAAAGACCTGCCTATAGGCAGTCTTTGTTTTATTCTGTTGCTACCTCAATCATTTTAACTGCTATCATCAACTAGTAGCAACGATTTTTATTGCTATTTATCAAAAGTAGCAATAAAATTATTTATATTTTTAAGCTACTACTCCAATTGTAGTTTATGTTTTATAACTATTGCTACTACTGCTATATTTTGAGATTTGCTTTTTTAAAAGTAGCAATAGTTTTGCTACAACTTCCGACAATTGTTTGGAGCAGTAGGTAGTTTAAGTAATAGTAGAAATACAGTTGCTCTAACACTGGTTTTATTTAGCGCAACATTTTTTAAAAACTGAAATTTAAAAAGCAATATACCTTTTAAAAAGCTTTAAATGTATTATAATAAAATAAGCACTCACCTTATTCAACACTTCTTTTTTTTTCCTTGTTTCCTTTCCGCAAACAACTTCAATTACTTTTTTTCAAATTTTCTATTTGATTTTACATTTATTTTCACAAAATTTTTCTTTATATTTTTTTCTTATTTACAGATTTTTCATTTGATTTTTATATTTATTTTCCGTATTTTCTCAGCTTTTTAATATGCTTTTGTATTTATTTTAATATTTTTTTATTTTCTAATTGCTTTAGCTTTTTATTTTCTCATTTCCTTTACTACACTAATAAAATCATTTTCCTATTCTTTGCTTCACACAAACATTTATTTATTCATTTCTTCCTATACCATCTGTTGCACTTAACACATTCCCCGCACTTTCTTACTCACATACATATGTATTTATTAACAACGAATGGCGAAACTAAAGCAACATAACGGCCGGCACAACATTTTATATTCCCACACTATTTTCACTAATTTACACGTTACTTTTTACCAATATTTTTACACAGAAGTATTAACAAACATTTAAATTTTCTATTTATGCAAAAATATTAACAATTTATTAACTTTTAACCGGATTTATAAATTAAATCAACGACCACTAATCACCAAACAACCGAACACTTGAGAAATTTCTAGAAAAATAAAGGAGAAAAATGCAAGTAATGATTCTGTGCTATTGTTGTTGTTGCTGCTGCTTTCATTCTTTGATTTGTACTAAATGTATGCATATAATGTGTTTGTTGTAATTTTATTGTGTTGGGTGGTGGGGGAGAATATTTTAGAGTGCGTAAATAGATTATGAAGAAGAGTTTTTAGTAATGTAGAATAGTAATGGTCAAACTAGGTTTCTATTAATCGACTTTAAAATAATCGAACTTTTTGTCCTAACGAAGTCGAAAAGTCGACTATATTGTAAGAAAAAGTCTAAGAATCGATTTTGCAAATAAAAGTCAAAAAGTCGAAAAAAAATTAAAAACACTCCAAAATTCATCATAATTTTTGTTCAAATGTGAAGAAAAATATTTTTTGTGTTTTTTAATATGTATGTACATATATGTAATAAATAGTAACTTATTTCCATTCGAATTGAAATTTTCTATCTATACAATTTTTATATTTCGTTTTTCGACTTTCTGTGTTACAATATACGTTTTAGTTATTATATTATTATATTTATTATTATATAATTATGTTAAACTATTTATTTTATTTCTTAAAAAGTGGAAATAAGTCGGAAAAAGTCGATTAGTAAAACACAGATTCTAGTTGTATGGAATTTTCGATATTTCTTCCATTCTAGGAGTTTCAGTTGTAAAATATTTCAACATTGTTCTAAATTTGACCAGGAAATCCAAAGTTTTTTAACTCTTTCTGAATTGCCTGAAAACTTTTTGTTCTAGATTCATAAAAATATTAATTTTATATAGATGATTTAAAAAATTTTACCAATTTCTCTCATTGTTAGTTTATGTCATCTAAGAAATTTTAAAAGTGAGTCATCCGATTTAGCTGTCAGTTTAAAACATGGTTAATTAACCCATTTTTAATATGAAACATCGGGGCATAAACATTTTTATTTTTCAGAATAGCTTTAACAATTAAAAATATAAGAAAAAGTCACACGTTTTCATTAAGTTTTCCATGTAAAAATAAGAGTAGAAAATAATTGACATAAAGAAACAGATAATGGAATTATGCAAAATTAACTTAAATTATACTACATAGTATTTGCATTCGCATTCGCCTTAATAAATACCACATACAAAATTCAATTTTTAACATTTTACTAAATAAATATTTCTGATTTGACATTCACTAATAAATCTCCTTAACATCTTGCTCTTAATCTATTTAAGCCTTTTTATGTTTATCGAATAATGACAGCAGCAGCAACAACAACAATAGCAATATAATCATATCTTGCATTTTTCTCTTTTAGTTTTCTAGAAATATAGCAAGTGTTCGGTTGTTTGGTAATTGGTGGTGGTTTATCAATTAATAAATTCGGTTAAAAGTTAATAAATTGTTATAATATTTTTACATAAATATGAAATTTAATTGTTTTTTAAACGTTGTGTGTAAAAATATTGTTAAAAAGTAACTTGTAAATTAGTAATAATAGTGTAGCAAAACTGTTTGGAAAATTATAAAATGCTGAGCCGATCGGTTTGTTGCTTTAGTCTGGCCATTCGTTGTTAATAAGTGTGAGTTGGTGTGCGTGTAGGGGAGTGTGTTAAGTTCTTTGTTTGGTTGGAAAGTGAAAAAAGGTTGTTAATGAGAAAAGAAAAGCTTTTATAAGTTTTGTAAAGAAAAATGAAGTAGTAAAATAATTTCAAATAAGTAAAAGCTTTCAATTATAGTAAAGGAAATGAGAAGGAAATCAAGTGTAGATCTTTGTTAGAAAAAAATCTAAGAAAATAAAAAAGTTGTGAAAGTAAATAAAAAAGCTTTGAAATAAAAAAGTTTGTGAAAAAGATAAAAATAAAATTGTTGGTAGAAAGAAAACAAGTGCTAAAAAAGGTAAGAGTTTATTTTTTAATTTAATTATATATGTAATTCAAAACATTTTAAAGGGTTTTTGATTTTTAAAGAATAATATGAAAAAAATTTGTTCAAAATTAAAAGAAATTTACAGTCGAATAAATAGCAAAACGTGTCAATCGAAATAGTTCGAAGTTTATTTGTTGTTTTGTTTTTGGCTGTCGAAGCTTTTTGTTTTATTTTATTTCTACCTCAATAATCGCTATCATCAAATAGTATCAACGATTTCCATTGCTACTTATCAAAAGAAGCAATACAATTATTTATGTTTTTAAGTTATTACTCCAATAGTTAGAGCGATAATAACAAACTAGGTAGGAAATTTGGTTTTTCTAACACTGGTACATAATTAGATTAACCCAATCGGATAATGAAAGCGGAAAAATTAGTTTTTTTTGAGGATAGTAGGCCAGACACAAATTTTCAACTCTCTCGTTCAAGAACTGCAGGAGTCAGAGGTGGTCAAAGTTTGACATTTTGGTCATACAGGGTTTTATTCAAAAGAGTGTAACTTTTCACCTATTGGTCCGAGCAAAAATTGTCCAAATGTGTTCAGATAGCTATTTCTTTATTCTTTCAATTTTTTTTTTTAATTTTTTAAAAATTTAAAATTAAAAAAGAATGAAGAAATATCTATTGAAAAGTTACACTCATTTGAATAAAACCCTGTATGACCAAATGTGCAATTTTGACCCCCTCTAACTCCGGCAGTTCTTGACCGATAATATAAAAACAAATTACATTGTATGTATATTCATAACAGGTATAGGGTATCATATGGTCGGCCATATGGTTATCTCAAACGAAGTCCAGCCGTATATTAAATGGTATTTGTTTTGTAGTTATAATTTTTTAATAAAATATAATACTCAATACCTTTTCAGTTCTACTTAATCAAAAATAAAATACCGTTGAGGAAATAAACTAAACTAATATTTCCAGTTTTTCACAATTACTTAAATGAATTTTTTTGTGATTATAATTTTTTAAAAGAAAATATACATTTATTAAAAAAAATTGACAAATATAATATTTAAGGTTTTCTATTTACTTACACTTAGTTCTTAGGTTAATATACCAAATAAGAATAACTTACATTTCTGCTTACAGCTAGCTTTATAAAAATTACTTTAAAAAATCCAATTAATACCAAATAGACTTTTATTTAAAATGGAATAGTTACTTTAAAATTCTATGACAAACCCTTAAATTTACATTACGAAATACTTAAATGACAGGATGTCTAACTAGTATTATGGAAAACACGTTTTTGTTGTTTTTGTTTTCAATAAATTTACTTTACAAAATTCTAACTTAATATAAATATATTTCAAATTAAATATTTATAGCAGGAATTATAAATTACAATTAAATTATTTTTTATTAAACAACTATCTAATTTGGGTATTTATACTTAATGTAATGTACAAAAATTGTTATTATACATTCATAATTAGTCAAAAAATATCATATAAAATAAAAGAGTCCTTAGTAAGAATTTTTGGATATTTAGACCTGGAAATATTAAATATATGCACTTCTTTAGAGGAAGAAAAATCTTAACATTTATATATGCAAATATAGTAGAACAAATTAAGCAATTTCTATACAAAGCGGAAAATATGAAAGTTGTTTAAATTTAAACATTTGGCTGTTGGTTCGCAACATTATTGCCCACCTGGCCGGGAGGGTGTGAAGCTCCACCACCACCACTACCACCTTCAACGGAACCTGATTCTGCATCTGAATCTTTAAGGGATGTTGCTTCTTCATCTCCCATGAGAGCACGATACTTTTTGGCAATAGCTTCCCAGTCAGCAACATTTTCAATGCGATTTTGGTTGGCAGCCGAAAAACTGGTTTGTGAACCCAATGGCGATAAGTGAACCACTGATAAGGCCATGGAATCTGCGCAACGAGTATTAATACATCATTAGTTAAATTGTATATAAATTACGATTTTATTTCAAAATTTTGAGCTATAAGCCAATTTTCTTTATTTAAATTTAATATATTTATAAGAGTTTACTTGGCTTCACGTAGCTGCAAAACTTCTCAAAACAAACTTCTTATTGGAGGAAGCTTTTTTGAGTTATGGGGAAATTTGCAGCGACACATACATTTCCTACCTTTCTTGATCTTGGAAAGCCATTTGGCTCCAGCTTTCGTACGGGGACTGGCCTGGCGTATTCCCATCATCTGTACCAGACTTGGACGCTTCTTTTTCTTCATGCGAGCCTAATTTTTGGTTTGTTAACATTTAACGCAAGAGCGAGACAAGAGACAACAAACACAATGAGAATGAGAAAATAACAAATACACACAGATAAACATTTACAAAAACTTAATATGTGCTAGAGTCTTTTTTTCCTTTTCGTGACTAAATGAAAAAAATTTGTGAGTGCTGTAAGTCAGGAAGGAATAAACATTTCCAATTTAATTTTGTGCATTTGTAAGAGGTGCATTTAAATAAGAAATTTCTGTTGCCATATTGCTTTAAATGAATTGGGGAAAAGGTCACAATTGCTTTTCTAAGATTGGTATTGAATTTCTTTTGTGGTTGTGTAAGGTAAGAATTTCTTTGCTACATAGAAATTCTGTTTGAGCAGTTGTTATACACACTTGATATTTTACCTTGACCTTCTCAACGATCCACATAAACCAGGTGGTAACTAAATTAAGCGGGGATGGCGCTGTTGTTGTGCGATGCATATTGCGTATAAGCTTTGATAGGCCAAATTTCCATTCTATATCAGATTGGGCCTATTATTTTCAATTAGATTCACATATATTTTGGTTTGTTTTATGAATTGTATTGATGAATTGATGAAATATATTGTAATATAATTAGTAGCATTCCGTGTTTATGAAATGAAAATAAAGAAAGTAAACGAAAATTCAAATTATATTTATAACACCAATTAAAGCTGTATTTTCGAAGATTTATAGCGCTGTAACTTATAAATAATATGCGAATAATCTAATATTACAAAAGTTTCTACTCAGTTAGAATCAATGTCTAACAAAATTTCATTGGCAGTTGTCAGAGTGATCCGAAGATATCCGAAGAAAATGTAATATTTTATAATTGTGTTATTTTGCAGTATTATTATCAAATGTTTTTTTGTATCAATGTGATTATAGTTCTTAATCGGAAACTTTATTTCCATCTCACTTTAAACAAATTACTCCAAAGCATTCACATTAAATACAACTACCCTATCTTCAGTTATGTTGAAGCAATTGAGACAAGTTATAATGTCGTGTACCTTGAATTGAAAAGCAATTATTATTGTATCGTTTAGGTTTTCTCTCGTCTTTGTCATTCTTCATAAATTAAAGTAAATGCATTTCTTGCTTATTCCTTAACAACTGGAGGCTTTAGTAGAAACTCTGTTAATATTAGAATATTCCTTTAAAATGATAATTATTATATTCCAATAAATTGTTGAATTTTCAATAGACATGCAATTCAAACAACATGCTGGTGGTTAAACACACAGATTAACATTAATAGTAATATTTAAAATTTGAAAACTATATTTTATGTTCAGGACTTATATTTAAGGACAAACACAAAAGCTTGTTTTTTTCAAAATTGCAATACTGCAAAGCTTTTCTTTTTATTAGAACTATTCTAAACATACATATGTATATTAATGTTGAAACAATTTTATAACGCGATTAGCATTTCAGTAACAAAAACAAAAACTTTACTAAAATACGCACTTGAAGCTTTACAATTTATGGTGGAAAAGCTTTTAGAATTATCTTTAATATACAAAATATTTAGAAATTGTATGTTAAAGAAAAAATTTTATGGAATATATATTATCTTGCAAAAAATTGTACACCAAAGATGCAAGTCTGGGCAGTAGATGGAACTACACATTTACATATAGTATACATAGATACATTGTTTATAAAAGTAATAAAAAACAGACAAATATTAACAGTTTTATCAAGTATTTTACAACAAATAAAGATTTAAACCCAAGAAAAGCCTGAACTTATTTATCCTTGGTCTTTAATATCTAACTGAGCTGAAAAAATACATCCTGCTTAAGATTAAATATTTATCGATTAAATAGATAAAAAATAATTGTTTTTAAGTTCTGTTGTTATATGTTTAGAATACCTGTATCCTTTGATAGGTATCGGACATCATAGCAATTAATAGATTGATTAGCACCACCACCGACACCAACATATAGATACCAAATACTATTTTAAATAGATACTCTACCCAATAGGGTTGAGTGGGCGTAGCTAGATTTTTGATTTTGTCAACTTGTGTCTGTTCAGTCGTCGTTTGACCAAACACGGCAAAAAATAATAATTCAAACGAATTTATCGGATGCATGCGCACTGTGTGTCCAAAAACATTTTACCGCACATGTACGAAGATACAAACCATTGGTAGGATAAATAAGAGGAACAAACACAGTACACACCGGATATTATTACAATAACAAATGATAAATAAAATCATACATTGAACAAATAAAAACATTAACAACGCCCACACACGGCGAAACGGTGACAGTGATGATGTCGATGACAACGATGACCATTATGAGGAATTAATTATTTTGTTGTCGTTGTTGTATTGTAACCAAAAGTCCACCAAATGTCGTTATCAAATAAAGAACCAACAAGAAAGAGAAGAAAACAAAAATTAGTTTTTCAATACCAACCTGAATTCGCTGATAAGTATCCGACATCATGGCAATGAGTAGATTTATGAGAACAACCACAGACACTAGTAGATAGATGCCAAATACAAATTTGAATAGGACCTCTGTCCATTCGGGTCTTAAGTGGCGCATTGGATTTATATCCACGGTGGTAGTTTGACCGAAAACCGCAAAAAACAGTCTTTCAAATGCCAAAAATGGTGTCATTGGTCCTTGTTTTTGAACGAATTTTCATTTAATGCACAAATCAATTGCATTCATTTGAAAATTGAATAAATTGAGCATGATTGGTAGTAAAGGAATTAGTAGGAAATTTATAAATTAGAAAATTCCTTAATGATCTGAAGTGTGTTTTTTGACAACAATTAAAATGTCAGTAGGTGCTGTACCGTTGGCTTGCTTTTATTGTTTTAATTTGTGCTCTTGAATGTGTGGAAAGCGTCATAAGCCTGTATTAGAATTATCACATAAATGTTTAGATATTTTTGTTTCTTTTCTGAATTGAAAAAACCTTAAGTGAACACCAACATGCGTAATATTTTTTATTTTTATAAAAAAAATCACGACATCAATAGCCAAGAAAAATAAAGAAATCAAATTATAACATGCACCAAAAATAAAAAGCAGAATAGCAAATAACTTTTTAAAAAATAATCTGAAAACATTTGTTATTTCCTCCAGTAAATTGAAATTCTTAATATGAAATTTATTTAATCGTTCTCTAAACCCTATCTTGATCTGTCAAAATTTATCATGTTTTCGTTATATTTATATAAAAAATTTTAGTGTTTAATAAATATTAAAATATTTATATAATTAGTTGTACTTGTATACTAATAAAATTAATTTCCGCTTTTACATACATACATAAAATTATAATTTCAATTATTATCAGTGTATTCTACTCTAAGAATGCTAAAAATTTACAGATTATGTTTTTATATAATTAGTTGCTTAATAACAAAAAATATGATAACATTTTTCAGTGCAAAAAAATTTACTGAACTTTTCATTCGTAAAACAATTTCATTAATATCTCACAGGTCATTTTATCGAACTTTTAAACTCAGCTGAATCAAAATAATGAGTATAGAATGTGCATAGGAAATATGTAGGTAAAAATAAAATTCAGAAAATAGTGCTACAGTTAAAAGCTTTTGAAAAATAAAAATGTACATGCTTTTGAAAAGAGAAGTTGATAGAACTATAGATATTACTAGTAAATATAAGAAATAAACATAAAATAATATTTTGTAAATAAAAATACCATTAAGTCAACAAAAGAAACCCGAAAGAACTCAGTAAGCGTTATTTTAGGGACAACAAAAACAAAGTAATACAATATCTATAGCTGTGTTCACCTTCTCAAATTAAAAAAAAAAAAAAAAAAAAAAAACAGAAATAATTACATAAATAAAATCTGAAATACATTTAAGAATATTTACAATGCATTTCAAATACTTAAATATTTCATGTAAAAGAAACAAAAATCAATTATCAGTTTTATTTTCAATAATTTTTTTCACATTTTGATACAACACTTTTCCACAACATCAAGGATACACAAAATAAACACACAAAAAATGACCAACAAAAACAACATTTAACACCGCGAACTCTTAATAAAAGGGCCAACATGCCAATAGCCCAAATAAGGAATAAGATTTTCGCAGCAAGCGTATGGATCCCATCAAAAAAGTTTTTTATTATTTGGGTGAATTTTAAAACTGAAAGAGAAACACACAACATCGAAGGCAAATTACATAAATGCGCACATAAAATAATCATTTTGAATGATTGAATGCTGAAGGTGTTAAATGGGAATTCAACACTTACGATCATCTTTATGCTTGCGGCGAAATTCACTCAACATACTGCGACTAGAGTCAACATAGTTCTCTGCAGGCGGTGGGCGAGGTGTGGGCATGTCATCTGAATTTAAAAACGGGAGGGCATTCTTAATTATAATGTTATAAATTTAATTCAAATACACCATATGGACGAAATCGGATTCAACAACTAAAGCTTCGGATTTCTAAATTGAAATACATATGTATTTGTATTGTGATCAAACATGAAAACGACTACTAGTTCTTCCTTGGTATTTTATACCTGGCGATAATTAATTTTAAATGAACTAGAAACTTCAGTTGTGGAAGCCGAGTTCTTTTAGTGCGGACACTTTTTAGGACATATTTTCAAGTTTTTAATAATAACAGTCTGTAATTGTTCAGCATGCAAATTTCGTTTTTCATTTAATCATGATTTGATACTTATCGATTTTATTTAAAATTAATTTCATTAAATAAAAAATTATTAATTAATAGACATAGAAACACCACAAAAATAAACAACATCAATTAAAATTAAATACCCAAAGCAAGTCTTGAACTTACCGTCACTGAAATATCCACGATTACGATTCTTCTTTTCAAACGATCTCAACTCCTCGGGAGTAAAATTGGCAAATGATTGATTCAGAGCTACTATGTGCATAGAAAAGCCGAAAACGAATATAGCTAACACAGCCAAAAATCTCGCCAAATCTTTGAGCAAGTCGCCAATAATAATGGCCCAGGGCCCAAAAAGATGATGGAACGAGAGAAAGTCTAAAATTTGTACACATGCAAGCAAGAAGGCCAACGCAAAGCATTGATTGCGACAATATATAAGTGTTGGCCAATATTCTTTGGACACAAAACAGAAGGCCGTTACATGAACTCCAACACCGGCCATTCCCAACAGCAGCACTAACAATTTGATAGATCCCAATCCAGATTTATCTGAAGGATTTGTCAACTCGAACAAAAGTAAACCGCTCAACCAAATGAGCAGGCCTATTTCGTACCAGTAGGGGACCAAGCTTAGCCGAAGCACCGGGTAAATTGGAGTTATACCCACAATACTGAGATGGATCATTAGATAGATGTGCGAGGTGAGGTAAGACATAAATTTTATAATAGGCACTTTGTTAAATTTGTGACCCATGGGAAAGGTAAAGCCAATCCAAACGGGTGGGCAGACTATAAATGCTACTAGCAGTAGCAATATTTTCCAGGAAGCCCATGTCAAGGAACCTCGCCACAATTCCTGTTAATAAGGTCGTTTAATAAAAATCATTGAACTTTCGAATAACCAGACTAACCTGCAAATATCTTTGTACCACCGTATGAGCTATAACCTCTTTCTGTTCATTTTCTATTAATACATCTAAAAACTCCACATTTCTTTTATCGGTCGCTTGTAAAATTTTTCCCGCAGAGTCAGAACCGGCTGCTAAGGCCAAAAGTTCAGTCGCCATAGCCTCACATTGTTTGCCAGCTGCCACTAGATCCTTAGCACGCTCTTTTTCCTAAATGGGAAAGAACAAACTAGTGAAATATATTTCTTATAAAATGTCAAATTGATTGTACCTTTGTGGATAAAATCATATAAATGTTAGATAATTTGGCAGCTGTATCTACGGGTGCTGGCGAAACCAAAACAAATTCCTGTATCGGTTTATTGTTATGATTCTTCGAAACCACCATTAGGTTGTAAACAAAACGTTTGTCGTCCATCAAACCATAGGTATCATGTTCTTTATTCATTAGATACCTGAGGACGTCATTGTGTCCTTCGGAAGCAGCAAACCATATAGGAGCACAACCGTAATTGGTTTCAGATTTTGGAGATGCTCCAGCCTCACACAAAAGTTTCACCACTTCTAAGTGACCGGCTTTGGCAGCACAATGCAGTGGCGTCCAACCATTTTTGTCAGTTGCATTTATTTCTGCGCCTTGACCTAGCAAAATCTCCACCATCTGAAAATGACCATGCATAGCAGCTATGTGTAGACCAGTGCGACCATGGCGATCTGTAGACTGGAGAAGTTCTGCCGAGCGACTCAGAAGTAAACCAACCACTGACATGTGACCACCGAAGCACGCCAAATGAAGAGGATTGTAACCCTAATTAAAAGTTTAAAAATTAATTGTTGATTGTTATACAACTAATTACTTTATAGATAACTCACATTCTCTGTGGTAGCTGCATCCACCTGCACTCCGGCTGAGTTCAACAGTAACCGTACTACGTTCTCGTTGCCCGAATATGCTGCCAAGTGTAGCGGAGTCATCCCCGATTCTGTACCCAACTCACCAAACAAACTTTGTCCTGTCGGCGTTTCTGACTTTACTGTGGCCGGTACGCTAGTAAGGAGTTCCCGCACCGTATCCGCCTGCCCATAGTAGGCTGCCACATGCAACGGTGTCAGTCCCAATTTCTTGCTGGTGATTCTCAAAGAATTTGTACTTTTCAAAACGTCCAATACTTGGCCATGGCCGTTCTGAGCCGCCAAATGCACAGCAGTAAAACCAGCTTTATTCTCCTCCGTACATGAAGCTCCAGCTCTTACCAACGCCTTCACTACATCTGCATGCCCTCCTTCTGCTGCTAATTGTAATGGTGTGGCGTCAGTCAATTTATTTCTAGCAGATATCACGCCAGATCGATCGAACTTCATTAGTTCCTCGATCACCTTAACAGAACCCTGCATGGCAGCAATATGGGCACAGGTATTTCCATCTTTACTAGTAGCATTTACCAGTGATGGATGTTGCTGCAGAAACAATTTGGCCACTTCTGAGTAGTTGTTCTGCGCGGCGACATGTATGGGTTTCTGTCCCAAGTCATCGGTCGCATCTATGTTAGCTCCCAATTCTAACAAGAGCTGACATACCTCCATCTGACCGCTGGCCGCAGCCAGATGAAGTGGCGTTTGTTTACGTAATGTTAAAATATCAATAACTGCATTATGATCCTTGATGAGAAACTTCACCAGATGAGTGAAGCCGTTCATCGCGGCCAGATGTAACGCCGTGCGACCGACTCGAGATTTCGAATTTATAAAAGCCTTATTAGTCAATAGAGCATCGCATACATGCAGATACCCTCGTTCGGCAGCCAAATGCAAAGCAGAACGACCCTCGATATCGAATACATCAACTCTGGCATGATTCGCTAAAAGGTTGTTGACCAGTTCCATATGCCCTCTATGACAGGCAATCAGTAAGGGCGTCCAACCAATGGACGACTGACGATTCATGGCCTTCTGTATGTCCGTCGGATTCATGTGGGCGATCATTTCCATCAGTACGTCATTGTTGCCCGCCATCGCACAATAATGGAAGGCAGTTTCCAAAGCATTTTTAGTCTGCAATGTAACATCAGCACCATTTTCCAGCAACATGCTCACTATTTCTTTATCGGACTCAGGTATTTTAACTTCTTCTTTCGTAATTTGGCAAGTAAAATGAAGCGCAGTGGCGCCATCTTCATTAACGGTATTTATGTAGGAAGTGGCTTTGTCGGGTCCATGTTTCTCTTTCACGGTTTCAATCAGATGTTTAACAATCTCAGGATGACAGGCGCGACAGGCCATATGCAAAGGAGTTTCGCCAGTCTAAAATCATTACCAAATAAATAACAATTAAGATTCCTTGCAGCGAATCTTTTGCCTAAGCAATTTCTTACATTGGACTTATAAAGGGGATCACCGTCATCTTCGAGTAGTTGCATCAGCGTTGCCAGATTACCATGACGGGCGGCAAAATGTACCGGCGTCAGGCCATCATCGGTAGTTAAATTGGGACTAGCACCGGACTTAAGGAGCATTAAAGCACAACGATCTCCATCCTTAACTCGTGCGGCTAAATGTAAGGGAGTCTCATGTGATTTACCACCCCGGACATGAACATCGGCTCCAAAACCAAGTAGTGTCTCAACCACTGCTGGCTTGCAAGCTTCGACCGCTATATGTAAAGCTGTGTAATTATCCTATTGGTAAAATAAAAAGAGGTTTAGAAACTTCAACAGAACTTGCTTAATAACGATACCCACATTAGTTGTTACATCGACTTTTTCGCCTTTTTGCAAAAGAGTATTAATAATGCCGGTATGACCATAAGCAGCAGCTGTATGGATACTACGAGCTCCATCTTTATTGGGCATATGCAGGTAAACTCCTTTCTTGAAAAGCATAGTGGCACATTCTGCATGGCCATTAAGAGAAGCAATATGCATTAATGTGCTGCCATCTTTGGTTCGCTCAAAAATACTGGCTTTAAATTTATCGGCTAAAATTTCAATAACATGAGCATGACCATTCTCAGCAGCCAAATGCATAGGAGTTCGATCTGGTAAAGGAAAAATAATAATACAAGATTTTCATTGCATTTGATAATTAAACTATTTACCTTGATTATCCGCTATTGAAGCAGATGCTCGCACACCATAAAAGTACTTTAACAAGGCTTCATCGCCTTCAGCTGCCGCTATGTGTAGAGGGGTTTGCCCTTCACCATTTTGTGTATCAACATTTGTGCCATAGTCCACCAATATGCGTACCATATCAACATCCCTACGCCTGGCAGCCAAATGCAAGGCTGTGTCTCCATTAGCTGCCGTAGCCTTCGAATAAACAACACAACAACAATAGTAAAACCACCATTAAGATCGTGTAAACATTTTATGGTTAAATTAAATTTTAATTTATGTTTTTATTTTTACGTTTTACTCCTAAAAAAAAATTATGCTAGAGGTCAAAGTTAACTTGGCGATATGCAAATCAGTTTTGACTTTTATTAAAAGTTGCACGTGCAAATGACATGAAGTAATTTAATACGAAAACGGCTCGTAAGTACATGATGATGTTGTTTACAACCATTTCAAGGAGCAATAGAGTGAATGGTATAAGGATACTACCAATGCGTGCAAATGCATTCACTCATTTACCATTCACCTAAAATTTAACTTTTTAACCTATATTTTCATGGCTTTTTGAATATAATGAATAATGAAAGTTAAAAAGTTATTTTGCAAAAGTTAGCCAGCCGGCATTTTACTTTTCGTATTTTTTAAGCAACTGGTGGATATTTATTAAATAAATAAGAATCTTTTGCAGCAAACGTTTATTTCTTGATACGAATGTATGTATCTATATTAGACCGACTCACAAAAAATGGTGCTTGAGTTACCCTCCTCAAAATATTCGCTGTTATGTTATATAATGTTACCAAAAATATTTTGTGTTTACTGTTGTCCGTTCGTGAGCTGGACAGCCTTCAAAAAAATATCCTATGGGGGTACGATTTTTTTATATTAATGAAAAACCTAACAATTTTAGTTTTTTTTTTTTGGAATATTACAATTATGAGCAGACGGTTATTTATGATTAATACATCATTGGACGCAGCTTTAAAATCCCTTTTAAACGATACCCCATATTGGATATATTGTTTCAAAACAAAACTAACATTTAAAAAAATAATTCAAAAATACATTTTTTTAATTAGGTCCAGCTCACGAACGGTTATCGCTAGAATAAAAATATTGTGGGAATCATCATAAAACAATGCAAGGTAAATTTTGAGAGGGGTAACAAAATCACGTTTTTGCTTTCCATACAGAGTGAGTCGGTCTAATGTATAAATATACTTACATATCCAACTTTTGAAACCGCTGTCTTCCGATCGTGATGCAACTTGCACCAATATTAGTCCTATTGGATAGTAGTTTGTTATAATTTTTCAACACATGTGTTTCTTCTCATCTATGTAACTTATTGCCTATTGCTCTCATCAAAATTTGTTCTAAATAGATTAAATAGCTTTCGGAAAAAAATATAAAATTTTTTTTTTTACTTTTTTCCAAAATGTGAGCTTTTGTGTGTTTTCTTTTTTATTTAAACTGAAAACTCCTTACATTTTATAATTCTCTGCGAAATCACATGAAGTTAACATATTGTGAGTATGTATTATAATATCGACGGTAAGAGATTTTAGTTTGATATGTAATGTAGGATAGGTCAACTTGTCTAACATATATTTTTATATATATCCTACTCGCATACCACTCTTAACACTGGCAAACACCAACTTAAAGGAAAAGACATGTGCTTTCTTTTGAGCAAAAAAATAAAAAGCCCATTTTCGAAAAAAGTAAAAACAAAAAAAAAAAGTCCAAAATTTTTTTTTCCGAAGAGAGAGCTAACATTGGTACAAATTTCACTGGTTGGGTCACTTGACAAGAAATCCTCCATATGTATATATTTATTTATCTGTGGTACAACTGAAATTTCGTTACTATAACAAATTTTACATTCTTTAACTTTAGTATTGTTTGAGTTTTATTGTCTTGAATGGTTCATTGCGTGATTTTGAATAACTTCATTTTGTTTTTTGCACTGAGAGAAACAATTACTTAAATGAACTCTTATCGTTTTTTCCCAAAGAAAATATTTCAAAAATATTATAAATAAATGCAAAATATCGTGAACATTGTCAAACACCAACTTAAAATTACCTAAATATCTAGGATGGAAAATACTTTTGTCTAGCATTAAATATATGTCCTATGTATGTATATTTTTGTCTCATGTTTGCATGGTGGGACGAAAATCGCTTTTTGCTCAAATCACTTAGCTCTATTAAAAACCTGTAAAATATCACTAATGTATTCTTATTTTACCTTTCTATGATTCATAAATGGACTGATATTTTTTACATAATAATGTTTGTATGACCCAATACGATAACGTTTTATTATATTAGTGTGTGGGGCTAAAAAAAATAAAAATTACTTTCAAACTTTTAAACATTTTTTTAAATTATTTGAAAAATTTTGAATTATCCTATTTGGATTTTACTATGCACATTTATTCTGATAAATAATCTGAAATGAAAAGACTTCAACCATATTAAAAGTGATGTCAAAGCCAACATTTGGGATTTCTTATTATTTAACAGTATTTTGTTGTATATTTATTAGTATGTAGATAATTTCTCTATTAGAAATTGATTCGAGCAAAAAACGTTTTTCGACTCACCCTATTATAAATTCTTAACAAATTAAAAAACACGCAAAACTTTACTTTTTATTTAGCAATTATTAAGCTATATTCAATGGAGTTGAAATGAAAATGTTCTTTTATTATTTAAATACATATGATTTGTGTTACAATACAACATGTCATTAACAATTTAACGCTCTTCATATAAAATTTAATTTTGTATGAAAAATCAAGGAAAATAAAATGACAAATATGTTTAGTCTTGTTGGCGTGTCAAAAATTGCGTTTTCAATTATTTAAAATCTGTTGCTGTTGTTATTGGTCATTTTCATTGTGTGGAATTTGATATGATATATATTTATATACAAGGGTGGTCTCGTTTGTATGGAGTAAAAATAAGGTGTCAATGTTCGCAACTAAAATTAAATTTTAATTGATTTTAAGATACCATTTCTCAAAATGTTTGTCCAGGTCCTTTTTTGAGGTTTTTGTGATTTTTTCATATTTTTTCCAAAGGAAAGGTATGAAATATTGATATCATTAGAAAGATTCTTGTGAGACGCTTTAAATTCCGCATCAGAAATGTTCGTGTAACAGCAAAAGTAATCGAAATTTCCTAATTTTTCGGAAAATTTTCAAATTTTTTACATTTTAACACAGATGAATTTAGTATAATTCGTTGAAATTAATAAAATCACAGTAAAATCTACAGAAACGGTTAAAATTTTATATACCAATGTAAAGCTTATGATATTTAACGTATACTGATGTACATATTATGTACGTAAGATAAATATAGGAAACATCATCAACATTCATTTTGGGGCCACCCTAATGTACATATTTGAATATTAAGGTATTATACATATGTATGTAAGTAAATTCATACATATAAATGTACATATGTACATACATATGTATATATAATCCACCCAACATGACAAAATAAATTCAAATGAACAGTTGTTGAACCGATATCCTACCTATTTACTACTATTATTAGTGTGAGAATGATTAGTAAATATTGCAGTTTCTATAATTTTATATATAAAATTTTTATATTTAAGATAAAAAATATTGTATGTACATAGTTGTAAAATACATTCATACCTTCAGTTGATCAGCCGTTTGTGCCGCCAATAATTCTCTGACCATAGACTGATTGCCCGCTTCCACAGCCAAAAGAAGTGGAACTTTTCCTCTCTAGAAATTAAAAAATGTGATTTATTTTATTATCATAAATATATTTTAATAACTCTTCTTTAATAAGTTTTTAAAATTACTAAAATTTACAGATAATCGAAAATATTTATTATTATTCTCAATATACAAAAGGTACCGTACCGTACAAAGAGTACACAAAATTAAAATTAAATAGTTTCAGAAAAGTAAAAAAAATCAAATATGTATGCATTTAAAATTGGTAACCAATAGAATATTTTTTTTGTGATTTAGATATTTAAAAAATTAATATTTTAAATAAATTAATGTACAGAAATTAGTCAGCCGTAGCTGGGGTAGAAAAAAATATGAGATAGTGTGGGGTCTAGCAGAGATCTCTATTGAATATTTATAGAATATTTTAGTAGGAAAATATAAACTCAATTACATTGCAAAAAGAACGATAAATCAATAAAATAAGCCTGGTAATGACTCATCGTTTGATATATATATCGCCAAGGAAATTTTCGCAAGGAATACCAAAATTACGTAGGAGTCTTAAATAAAGAGGGAATCTTTGTAGGTCCACGGGAACTTATGAAGGAAGAAGTATTTATTTTGGGGGAACATTACAAAAATTAAGAAGCTACAACGGAAAATAGTCAGGAATGCTTACGTATTTTTGTTGGTCTATTTACCTTGAAACATCAATGAATAGAAAAAAACTACAAAGTGATACGTTATATAGATTTAGACATCTTTATAGTCAGTTAGTTTATAGTTTTTGTCAATTTTGTCCACAGTATAAAATATGGAAACATACATATTAAAACACTTTTGTGTAAAAAGTAGACGTGATAGAAATTTTTTTTACTACTTCTGGATTCAGTACGTCTAAATCCACTCCAATCAGCAATTAAAATTTAAAGAATCGCAAATTTTTTTTAACTTTAACTTAATTCCACAAGTACATAAACTAGTTCAGATATTATCTCAAACTTTTTCGAGTAAAAGGGGGTTCAAGAATATTTCACATAAAACAATATATTTTCATGATAGTTTCCCATTTTAAAAATAGGGTTAATATTTACGTTGTAAATGTAAGAAACTGTTAACCATTTTGTACTTATGTTTACCTATGTGTAGAATTGTTTGTATACAAATGAATAAAATATCCTGCTTGGGCTTTGTATAATAATTTAAGGCCCATTTACTGCCTATGTTCTTCCTTCACAATAGTAGGGAATCAGTTGTTCGACCTAAATGTAAACAACATGAAGAATTATTGAAAATATTGTTATGTTTACGTTGGCACCGACTGTTACCACTTTGTGACTAAATCAATCACATATACAGACAAAACAATATTGTCTTATTATTCTGTTAATTTTGTGTATTATTGTCTAGCAGACTACCAACCACACCTTCCCTATAAATTTATAATAAAAAGGGTAAAATCTATACAAAATGTTTTCACAATATTTACTTAAGTAAACATATGTATATCAAAATATGTTTAAATATGTATTATGACAATTAAACAATTATTATACATAGATCATAAATGTATTATAATTATTGTGTAATAATAAATGTAAATAAAAGTTAAATGATAATATGTCGTACTTACCCCGTCCGCTTTTAAACGTATATCCTTGCCTGCTGCAGCCAATAAAGCTCTTAATATATTGGTTGCTGTACCAGTTTGACGACTAGACACCAAATGCACCGCTGTCTGGGCACGAGACTATGGGATTTAAGTGATTGTAGAATTATTAATTAATAAATAAATTAATAAAATAGTTATATTAAAAAGAGTTTATAACAATAATGTGCCGTCTTTTAAATCTCAGCAGCAACTAAGTGAAATTTGTAAATTATCGAAAGCTATAAATAATTTTCAGAATTTAGAATTTCAATTATGTGTGTTTGTTTTTGTAATTGTTTCAATATCTCAGATTGACAAGTAGTTTTTTCACTATATGAAAATATTATACTTGTATTAAATCTGCATTGCGCAGTTCTCCCTGTCACATTCTACAGTCTGTTTGATGTAATTTTAAATTACTATAATACGATTGTAATCTTTACCCTGCCTACTTTCTAAAACTATTCTAGACAAAGTAGTGACATTGTTTTTCAAGTTTGAAATAACTACATATGTATGTATGCAAGTATTTGAAAATTATGTTTTTATTTATTTCCTTTGCCAGTTTGCTGACATTTGAATTCATTGAAATGCATTTCATGATTTTAATACCTACCATCAAAGAATGGGGGTATATAGATTTTGTCATTCATTTGTAACACATAATTCTGAAATTCTATACTAACATGTTTTATGAGAACTAAAATTTCCCCGATTAATTATATAAGGATCGGACTATAATTAACCCTACCTTCCATATAAGGACCCCTCAGAATATGACTTTAACGCTCATAACTTGCTATAATTCCAGTATAGCAATGATGTTTAATAGAAGCTAAAATATCTCCGTAAAATATACATGTGAGGATTGGTTCGTATGTGACCATACCTCCTATAGAACCCCTTTTACGGGAAAAATGTATATTCAATAAATTAAAAAAACATATTATGACAACATTCTACTATCACCCTGATGTTCATACTAACTATGTATATAGGACATTAAATTTTAAAAATATTTAATTGTAATAAATAAGAAAAGGATCGATTCATATAGTATAGGATCACTTTCCGAAATTCACTTTAAATACATATACGACACATGATTTGGAGGTGGGTATATAAGATTCGGCATAGCCGAATATAAAACTCTTACTTGTTATATTTTAAATAATTTTGCTTAGATACCAAAATTGTTTATTTTGAAATTTCTATTTATTTATACAAGTTATGTGAACTGAACTATTTAGAACACAAATAAAGCCAAATTGTTGCTGAGAATCTATCTAAAATGTACAGTGAAGGGTTATAAAAACTAGGGATTTTGGGACTGCAAGTGAGAATGATGATAACACATACATACGTAGTTTATTTGGATGAAAAATAAAGTTGTAAATACATTTTTACATCATAATGTACAACTAAAACATAAAACAGCGCAGAGAATTTGAAATTTCATTCGCTAATAGTGTTTATATTATTTTTTATTTAAAATGTTATGATTTATCTTACAAATTTTCTGATGTTTTCATTTTACATACATAGGTATAATTTTATAATTAAAATTTTTAATTTAATTTCGACTAGGGAAGCGAAGCGCCCTTTCTGTACGTTAGTACCTAATAAATTAATGGACACGAATGTTCTTGTCAAAAATGTTTAAAAACTCAAATGATTTATTGCCTATATTTTTTCCTAAATTTGTTCTGTAATTTAAATTTTATAATAAAAATCATAAAACTTCGAGTAATAGTAAACCTATTTTAACAACAAACAACCTTGTGACAATTAATTAAGTTGAACTTGACGTTCGTTAGCGGCATGCTAAGTACTTATAAGCCATATCAGTTTCTTTTGAGAAAAGGAAAACTGCTTCTAATGCCAACAAGTCACACAATATTTTCATAGAAAGAAACTAAAAAGAAAACGTCAAATTAATGCATCTTTTTGAACATGACCCTTCCAAATACACTTACAAAATACATATATATGTATTTTTAACAGTAGTTGTTGAAATAAAAACAAAAACTAAAGGAAAAATAGTTGTTGTTATTGTTTGTTGCAAACTACAGCTCCGCCGATGCATGTGCAATAATTTAATTTTTATTGCTTGACCTTTAACAAAAGCGACACGCAGAAATTTCTTTAGACTTCTTTCTTAATTTCTAAGAAAAGTTAGTATGAATACTACATAAAATGAAAAACCTATCAAGTATTTTTTGGTGACGTTTTCTTTATTGATTTTTTTTAATTTTAGTCATTATGGTATTTAGGCGGGAAAATTTGTTGAGTATTAGTTTTTTATTATTAATTATAAATATGTATAATGTTAAACAGAGCTGTTAAAGAATTGACTATCCAATAATATGCCAACATATTGATGACGAATATACTTTTAATTTTTTCCGATCACTTCGTTAAGTTACTTTTTAAGAGCAAAAGAATTATGTTTGGTAGCTTGTAACCGATTTACAAATTTTATGTTTGTTAATCTTTGAAAAAAGTAGTTTCAGGAAATTAAGACATACAAACGATATATATATGTATAACATACACATGTATATACATATATTCTACATTTGAGTAAACAGACTGGTGTGTAAAAATTAAAATAAATTTTTTGGTGGCCTACCCCTCCGGTTGAAAATGGATCAACTCCTCGTTTATTCAGCAACAGTTTTACGACATCCTCACGCGAATACATGGCTGCAATATGCAACACATTGTAATTGTCCTGTAAAATAAATAAAAAAAATATATAATTAAACATATACTGAAGGAAGTATTATAAAACTGAAAATTTTGTAAGGATAATTATTCAATTTACTTGCAAACATGTTCAAAAGTAAGAAGTGAAATTTCTTGGTATTTTATTGTAGTTTAGAAGCCCTAAATGTGTAATAGAAAATGTTTACTTTTAGGTGTGACCGAGTTAAAACTTTCCTTTTCATTTTCAATCAGTGAAAACAATTAAATACTGCACCTTGTTTTTGGATTTGAAGTTTCTGATGAGTTATTACTTTACCACACATGCAACAAAATCATCAACTTAAAAACCCTGACCATCATTATTTGCGAATTACACATGAAAACTAATGAATTTTTGTTATTTTTTTGTTTTAAGTGTCCTGTCAGAATAAGCAAATAAAAGTATGACTTCATCTCTTACTTTCTTTATATAAGTATATGTATATGCCTGTAAGTTTTGTAAAAAAACATTAAAAATGACAAATTAAAAAAGGGAAGATTTTATAACTTTTGGCCATTATGCTTAAGAAATTCCTGCTACAGGTATTTATAAGAACAAACTTAATTTTACTGAAATAACCAACTATTGCTATTTATCGTCCTGACAACAACAGCAAACATATACATATGTATGTATATGTTTCGGTGGAATACTCGCTCGTTTTTTTTAACAGTTTACAGACAGATAATAAATAATTGTTTCACACTCATGACTCATGACATTAAATTCTACATACAACATTTCTTCCACTTGTTTAATAAGTCTTGAGTCTATTGCAATTTAAATACACTAAAAAAATAAAGTATACACTTAATTTGAACGTTAAAATATATTAAAAATTATTTTATGTTAATCCCCGTAAATTATTTTCAAAATAAAGAAATAAATTTTTATAATTATAAAATAATTTTAAATATCTTAAATAACTGCGCTATTCGGATCAAAACATGCAAACATACAAATGTCCTTTAGTGTAAAATATTTACATTGAAACTTCCTGATTAGTATTTATTCTATTTATTTTAGTCTGCATTCACTTTTATTGAATCTTTAAATTATATGTATAATGTTTTGTATATTAAAAATATATATATATCAGAAAACTTAAAAAAATACAAATTATTTTAAAAATATGTCTGTGCAACAAATTTATTTTTGTCTATGTATTTGTTTGATTTTGCAAAGTTATTCTTCAAAGGTCTTGTTTATTATTCTTGTTTGAATGTTGTTGCTATTTTACCCCTACAATTCAACTCAAATGCTCTGTAAGGGTAGTGTCAACATAGATGGGAAGTACTTATTTGTTTCCCAACAATACTATGTACATTGTACAATAAATCGTTCGTTTTTAGTTTTTCTCTTTGAAAAATATATATATTTTCTTGTGAGAACAACAAGTTGATAGCAAATTCCTGTATGTAAAACTGTTGAAATTAATGCAATTCATGTCAATGACTTTTTTAATAGACAATCACATATATCATTTAAAGTTCAGAAATTCTATGATGATCTGTCTATATATGACTCAAGACCAAAAAATCCTTTCACTCAAAAATTTATTATTGGCATTTTTTAAACATATGTTTTTTAAACAAAATGTTCATACAAAATTTGTCTTTCTAATATTTAGGTAACTTGAAATAAATATTTTTTATAAAAATACTAATCACATTTCCAAATTCTGTGACGATCGGTATTTTATATGACCTAAACGCCCAAAATAAGGGTCTTCTTCCTAAATTTTATTTGAGGTTTAAAAATCTATTGATAACTTTATGTACATATGTAATACGTAATATGTATGTACATTAGGGTGTAAGTTGATCAAAATTGCTATCAAATACATATGTACTCAAGTTTTTAAAAAGTAAATTAAAGGATGTATATGAAATAGTTTAATACATATTTAGTTTCAAATTCACAACTCCCATGTCGGAACAGTAGTAACACCGGAAACACTAAAACACTACAAATTCCAAGTTGATTTTCTTTTAAACTATAACACGATTTCGTTTCTATTTTTGTGTTTTTGCTTGTATTGTTTTCATTTATATTAGCTTTGGCCTAGTTTTTCTTGGAATGAGAAAGGGAACCCTTGTTTGTTTGTGTATAATAAAAGTTTATTATGCTGAATAAAAGAGCTCCAGCATAGAGCCATCTATTAAACTGTAGTACGGACATAAAAGGAAATAACTATTGTGTAAATATTTATACCTAGTTGTTTTGTCTTCTAAAATATATAAGGTTCAATAGCCGACAGCGATCTGCTATATAACTATATATGTATGTAGGTGTTTGTAGTGATCTAAAATAAAAAAAACAATAATGATATCACTCAAACGTTGTCTACTAAAGAGATTTATGCGTAAAAATAATTTAAAACAAAAAATTATAAAGTCTTCAATTCTCTTACTCGTCATTCATTATTCACAAACTTGCAAATTGCATAATATACTATGTATGTATGTATATCAAAATCGTTTTTTATCCTGTTTTAAGCTATAAATTAGTTTTCAAAAATTATAAATTAGTCCAAAATTTAGCAATCTCTGACTCTGGTGTTAATGGAATTTTTAAACGAATTGATGATCAAATAAAATGCAAAAAAAGGAGTTCTTGTGGAATAAGCTGAAATTTCGTCATTGCCGAAATGTAATTGTCATCACTTCCGTGTATAAGGATGTGGCCTTCTTTTATAACAAATGACTCAAGTAAAAAACGCGTGAAATGAAAAACCAAACCAACGCGGTCAGCATGATGACATTTTCTTAAATTTATATCATTACGCCTTAAAAAATTCCAACTATTATAAATAATTATTAATCTACACACAAACGTACATTCATATACATATGTATATACATGTACATTAATATGTTACTAAATATATCTACATTCCACAAACATTTTTCTTTTTTAAGTATGAATACTCAAATTCAGACCTCAATTAAATGAAAATAAAACTAGAACTACATACATACAAATTTTTGCTACATAATAAGTAATATAATTGAAAATTTATAAAAATGACTTTTTATTTTGATGGCCAAAGTAGGCAGACAAATACATACAAGTAACTAAAAACTTAACCAGAAATTGATTAATTATAGTTTCACTTGCAAAATGACTAAAAACAACACCTTTTTTAATTTATACTTATTATTTATAACCGTAACCATATACTATTTACAATTATATTTTATGGTCTGACTTTTTAAATTCCATGTAAGTCAACAGCTAAAAGGGTCACATGAAAAATTACCAGTTTAAGACTATCCTGACATTTCCACCTTAAAAACTATATACAGTGTCTCTCATAATTATTCGAATTTGGGTAAACTATAAAAAGAAACCAAATTTAATAATATATTTTGTGTACAAAATAAATAAATTAATTTGTTATATTGTCTAGATAGTCCTTATGTTTGATATCACGCTTTTTAAAACTTGAAAAATTAGCATTGACTTAAATTAATTGTGGATTTTTTAAAAAAAGTCCATGAAATTGCCTCACAAAAGTATACGAATTTTTCCTGTATTTCATATTTGATCATATTATACGCAACACAAATTTTAGAATCGAATGGTTTTTATGCGTAATATTGTTTTAAGGGGTTACTATCCACGGAAAGGATATATTTTTGACCCATTTGGTCCACAATTTTGGGAAATTTGTTCCCTCTTTTCATGTAATATCATTAAAATGGCGATTTTTGGCCATAATTGTAAATTTTTATCCTTTTTTCCAGAGATAAAACAAAAATTTGATATTGGGACTTAAAAGACCCCTTGGGGTATCTAAAAATAATATTTTTTTTTTACAAGAATCTGTATTTAAACGTTCCAAGATAAATTATTCGGATCATTCTTCTGTCGCTAATTCAATATATTGGAACTTAAGTCCATTTTTATAATACTAGGATCAACTGTTTTCGGGGAAAGTTTTCTGGTATATATTCTTTTAGATATCAGCTTTTATACATTTTAAGTTTTCAATGTGTTGTGGAAGTGTACAACTCCAAAACATGCCTCGAAGAAGCACCATTCAAAATAGTAAAATCATTATTTTTATATACCAATGGCCTCCATGCTGCATGGCACGATATCATTATGATCACATCAAAAATGTTGATATGTGTTTAAATATTATTTACTATGATCAAATTAAAACCAAAATTTAGGACTTACAGTGTTATTGTAACGGGCAACATAAGCGTGAAAGTTACGAGTAGTAAAAACTGAAATCTACTATATAAGATGACGTTTTGTTAAGGCATGTTTTGGGGTTATATACCGCTATAATATATTGAAAATTTTAAATATATTAGTGCCAATATGTACATGAATATACACTAGACAACTTTGTCGGAAAATATCGTCCCTAGAGGCACAAAAAGGAACTTATGATCCAGATAATTCAATTAGAAAATGAAAAACAATACCAAAAATACATCTAGGAACGTTTAAGTACAGATCCTTATAACAAAAAATATTATTTTTAGATACCCTATGGTTTCTATTAAATTCCAATATTAAATTTTGGTTTTATCTCTGGAAAAAGGGTGAAAACATTACAAATATAGCCAAAAATCACCATTTTAATGATATTACATGAAAAGAGGGTACAAATCCTCCAAAATTGTGGACCAAATGGGTCAAAAATATATCCATGCGGTTAATAGTAACCCCTTAAAACAATATTAAGCATAAAACCATGCGATTCTAAAATTTGTGTATCGTATAATATGATCAAATATGAAATACAGGAAAATTCGCATACTTTTGTGAAGTAGTTTCATGGACTTTTTTTTTAAAAAGAACAACTAATTTAAGTAAATATAAAGTTTTCAAGTTTTAAGGGGCGTGATATCAAAACTAAGGACTATCTAGACAATATCAAAAATGTATTTATTTATTTTCCACACAAAATATATTATTAAATTTGGTTTCTTTTCATAGTTTACCTAAATTCGAATACTTATGAGAGACACTGTATATTTACATATATGGTGTTGAAATCTAATAATGCTTTGTGAGTTTTTTGGTTAGTAGAGTAGTTTCTGTCATTGTGATACATATGATTAATATTTAGATTGTTATCACTGTAATAAATAAATGGGGCTTACATTTATTTTTTGTAAGAAAATAAAATAAAACACAACTTATTATTCTTATTACTTTGACGTAATTTTATTTTGAATCCTTAAAAATTAGGGCAAACAAGACAACTGCAGCGGTCATTTCGAAAAGGGCACGAGACACAAAATTGTCTTTATAGCACGAAATTTCATTTCAAAACATCTTTATGATAACGTTATTTTTTCAATATAAATATTACAAATATTACTTGTCTATGTTTAATTTTTTTATTACCACAGTATTTCTTTTATACCGAGCGTATTTTTGCTCCTCGTGGAAAGTTAGCATAGAAGGACTTATGCCCTTTCGAAATGACTGCTTCAATTGACTTTAAAGGTTAAAGAAATGTGCAAAAGTTTAATTTATAACCAAAATGACAAGGAGACAGATTCTATTATGTATGTACCTATCCCCACAAACTTGTTCTAAGTTGAATTGTAAATTTATCTGCCAGTTAAGAAAGTTATTTTCGGGAGATGTTTTCAATTAAAACTTTTGATTTCCTATTTTTTCCATAAAATTCATAACACTCATTCTTTACAACACCATTTTTATTTCAATATACATTTACAAAGGATAATCTGAAGGCTAGTGGATCCGGCTATCATAAAATAATTTCAATAATTTTCAATCTTAACTCGTATTTAATGTGAATATAACATTTGTTTTGTGTATTATGTATAAGGAAAAATTTCATTTACTTGAAGAATACCATAACTCAAAAGGATACTTTCAGAAAAAGGATTTTAAATGTTTTCCCCATTTTACTTTAATAATTGTTTTCTTAAATGGATTTTAAACAAATCATGTTACATTTGTACAGATAAATATGTTTCTAAATTTTTACTAATTAATACTTATGTATAATAAGTACAAACATAACAAATAATGTGTAAATTTTATGTCTTCAAGTATTTGTCTTACGACAACAATCTTCTTTAAAACGTTTGTTATGGTGGATATTGATTATTGAATTTGCATTTTTTAATCTTTAAATAAGTGACTTGAGTTAAAGTTCAACCTAGAACTTCTCACATCCTTTAATTACGGCCACACAAAAATGCCACTAAAAATAGTCACAATCATGCTGTTTCATTTTATTTCTCCAAGGGAGAAACATTAAAATAATTTTTGTTTCTTTTTGTTGTTGTTTTGATTGTATTGCCCAACTTTTGAGTGTGAAAAAGCCCTTGGTCAACGTATTATTTTGTGTATTTGAATGTATACGAATTTATTTAGGTCAAGGATTTTTTAACGTTCTTACGAAATACAATAAAACATTCCTTATAGCAAAAAAAAAAAAACAAATATAATAATAGTCATAAAAAGGAGTAAATAACACAGGACTAAAAGCAGAAAGAGAGAACTTTGAAATTAATTCATCAATTATAGTTAGATTAATCCCATATTAATAATAGATTAAATTCCAATTGGTCGTTATTAAGTAGTGGATATTTTTTGCAAACAATAAAAAAATAATCTTGTTATTTTGATTGTAATAAGTACAATCAAAAGTTCATTAAACGCATTTTTATTGAAGCGTTCAGACGCACTTGCTTGCTAATCTCAGGTGTTTCACCATGTGACTTTTACACTTTTTTCTTATTCTGCTTTTGCCAAATACGTATGTTAAGGTCCCAGAGAGTAAAGTATTCACGCACTTTCTTGTTTTCAAGCTTCAATTTCACTTTTTCTTGTTTTGATTTCATTCGAGTACAAGTATAGAATTTGTTGCGTGTTCCAAGTGTTTTATTTGTGCCAGACCGACTTCCTTTTGACCAACTTTGGTTTTGTTTTTACAATTTTTCTTTTTTTTAATATTTTCTTATAGTTCGTTATTGATTTATTTTTGTTGGCCTGTGAAAACGTCTTAAAGTTTTTACCTTAAATATTTAACTGTATTTAAAGGCAGATATTTTCTTGAACATGTTTTAACTTACATTATTCCTAGCACCAACATCGGCTCCCAGTTCAATCATACGATCCATGATTGAAGTTTTATTGTCTTTGGTAGCAAACATTAGAGGCGTCATACCAGTATTCTGAAATAAAATAAAAACAAATAGTAATATTATAAACATTGAAAATACTTATAATTTTTACTTATAATATGTTCCCATACTTATAATTTTCTTATTTGCTAAGTTTATAAAATTTAGTTTTCTTATTTTAACAATAAAGATCTGAATTTAAAATTGCTTTTTTTAATTAAAAAATAAAGTCATATGAGCAAAATCAATTTTTTTTTAAATTGGATAAAATTTTTTCCTCTGACAAGAACCATATTTAGTGGTTGAACGTGATAATAGTTACACGTGATAAATATGAAAACGTTAATTATTTTCATTGATGCGCGCAAAAGTTATAGCAAAATCATAAAATTTAAAAAAATCGTTAAAAATACGGGTTAAGTTATTTTCAAATAAAATTAGTACCCATTCGTAAACATTTATAAGGACTATCATATTTCAGGATATATACTGATAATTAAAAAATTATTTATTTTTTTGCAATTTCTTTCCCTACCCAAAATTTTGCAAATAATATCTCAGTTGGTTTGAAATATATTTTGCAAACATTTTAAAATGATCATAAAAGGTTCGCATTTACAAATTGTTTCATCTGCTTTTGACTAGGAGGTGTTAATTATAATGAGATTAAATTTTGTAAATCATAAATAGCTATGAATGTCACATTCAAAAATGTCACATTTTTAAAAAATGTACGCCTATTCTAGGCAAGTTTTTAAAGGCCCTGCTCTGTCCTTAGATATCTGACATCAACAAGATATACCTTAAATTGCTTGAAATTACTACAGCTATTAAATACCGTTGCTTAAATTTAATTTGATTAATGCGCGCATATGGACTATTAAAAAAATAAAAATTTTGTTTACATTTGTTTACAACAACATATATTTCCACCAAAAAGCATTAATGGATTTTTAAATGTCCAAAGTCTTGTGATCTTGTTTATAAAGGATGGCTCTGCAAGTTATCAACTGGGATTGTAGGTTTGTCCAAAGTCTTGTGATCTTGTTTATAAAGGATGGCTCTGCAAGTTATCAACTGGGATTGTAGGTTTGAAAATAATGAAAAACCATTTTTTTCATTTTTAAAATTTTAAACGTTCATAAAATAGAGAAATAATAAGCTAGTGAGTGAATCACTTAATACGAAATTGCCCATATGTATATGAAAAACTTGAATTTTTGTTTTGACGTTTACATCAAAAATCATCTTCATTTTAAAGAAATTACATATATGCAATACTTAAAATGCCCACTTTTAAGTTATGACAATCTTGTAGTTAATAGGTGATATGATGCCCTACAACCGGTTAGTAGTATATGTTGAATGTTAACTTAACTTCGACATATTTGAACAATTTACCGATGATAAACTAACTTTTTTGAAATGGAGTAAACATACATACGGGATTAGTCTCCCGGGACCATAAACTGGTGATGATATTTCACATTCCTTCGATGATTTTACATGGGGTATAACCAGAGCACCATAATCTGGTACTACGGGTCGCCAGTTGTCCGCATGACTTGTACTGGCTGGTCAGTTGGTTGAGGTTTCTTCGGGATCCACGTAGTGGCAGTGGTTTAAACCCAAATTCGCGGGAAGGGGGTGAATGGTTAAAGGATTGGTTCACGGTGGAATATAAATTTCACAGGATAAGGCTACGGATAAATAAAATGTTGGAATTGCAGAGATTGGGTATTTGAATACTTATATCTGATGGACGAGAGGGATCCTGAGTTGTATCTGTGGAGATGTCGGAATGACAAAAGAAGTGACGGTTGAAACGTTGCGGAGCTGTAATACCTTAATCTTTAATGTATCGGCGATTTTCCTTCATGGTTGAGTGTGTTGAAGTTTACTCTAAACATGCTGAACTTATCACAGTATGTCCTTGTGGGCACTGAAATAAGTCTTATCAATTAAAAATGGATCCGTGTTTCGGACAACAAATTACGTGCCCTAGGTGCTGTTGCCGAATCAACAGAAGCCATTTCAATAGTGTGGTTGGGAGACTTTAAGAGGTCCAAGAATGCACTGGGGTGAGTCTTTAGATGATGAAAATGTTTGTAGGGACACGGCATTCCTCATGGCATCAATAGGGTGTTGGTTCCCCTCCTTTTATTGACTTTAACCAGCGATTGCCTTTTCCTTTGTCGAGGTTAGATTGTGTTTGACTCATGACATCTGTCATTTCCCAACGGGACTACTATGGCAAGAGATTAGATATCTCGAGCACTTGTGCAAAGTGCAAGTATACTGGACCGGATGTTCCCATACGTAAATTGGCACCTGCGTGTAAGAAACACAATGGGCCGGTGGTGAGTCGTTGCAAAAGTTCATCCAGTGAAATAGGCCAACATGGCAGGTGTTCACGTAAAGCACTTCGACATTAATACTACCAAGCGTGAAAACTAATGAGATTTGCCCTAACAGATAAATGTCCAATATCATGACATTCTCAGTCACTTAAACAAATTAAAGATATGTACATACGAAAAATATTGTCATTAAGTACATAATAATAAACTTTTTAAACATTTTTAAATTCATTAAAACCGCTGCACAGTGCTTTGTTTCTGTATTGAGGATATTGCTGAATGTTATATATTTGAAGAAGATAAAAAATGTTTCGGGCAGATATAAAACAATAAAAACTCTTAAACATTTTTCTCACAATTTATTTTTTTCTCCTTTTTGAATTATTATGTTGCGAGTTTTATTTTTCTACTGTTTTTAATTATTATGAATGTTAAATAATGCAAAATATATTTTGAATTGTTAATGAAAATATGTTTTTTGTCAAAAAATATTAATTATTATGAAATTTCTATTTCTCTCATTTTATAATAATTATTTTGAAATTGTTATTTTAATTATTATTTTATGATTTCTTGTAAGTCTTAGGTTATATGGGAGGCGGGCGTGTCCCAATTGGACATACCAAATTTCATAGTCCTATATGAATATTTTGCAGATTTGTTCTATGGGAACATAGAACTGTGCGCTGAATCTCTAAAAAGTATGTTTTTTGTAACCTGACAACGAATCGGGTTTGTTTTTTATTTTGAATAAAAATCAATTGAAAATTTGTGTATAAGTTTTTATTTTAGGCGAAAATAGTATTTATTTCCTCTACAGACAAATAAATTAGACCGTTTGTCTCGTCTCCATTATCAACAGCAGCAGTAAAAGTAGACAATATTGTTATTTACTTGACAAAATAACGACACACTTTGACATATGTACATCGTTACCAAAACAAACCCAATACAAAAGAAAGAAAAGTTACAGAAACAAAAAACATATTCCAGTGAGGAAAATCCATACGACCCACAAAAGCAACACGATACTTTGCTAAATATCTATGTTAAAAAAGGAAAAATTCTTGTGGTATTTTCATATTGAATTGATTGAATTTTCCTTTAGATTTTTGTTTTATTTCGAGGACGAAGGGGGAATTTTGATTTCACATTAAAATTTATGGATGTTTTGTACAACAGTTTAACTATAGATATTTAAATAAAAATATGTACATTAGGGCAGCCCTAAAGTTTCTGATGTTGCAGAAAATTAATATTTAGTCCCATTTTTAAATAATAGGGGCATATTAAGTGCCAAATATTGAAAAAATCTTACTATTGAGTAAAAAAAATATTTTTTTGGATAAATAACCTACTCGCATCCCATTAAGCGACCATAAAACCCTTAAAGGAAAAAGGGCCCATTTGAAAAAATAATTTAAACAAAATTTGTTTAAATTAAATTCGTTTTGGAAACAGTGAAGCAGTTCTTTATCGCGTAAAATATAAAAAAAATGAAAAACCTTAAAAAACTACCTTTTTATCTTTAGACCCCCGGACAAAAAAAATTTTGAAATGGTATCTTAGAATGAACTAAAGTTACATTTTCGTGGGAAAATTAGTACCTTGTTATTCTCCATGCAAATGGGGCCACCCTAATGTATATATATATATATTTTTGTTTTATTGGTTCGGTTATGAGTATCAAATGACAATGAAAATATAAAGACAGAAAAAGGGTTTTCTTTATTAAACATTTTACTAGACTATTTGTTTCGCTTGTAAATATTCATATTTTTTTGGAACACTTATTGTTGGTGCTACAATGTGTTCTTGTCATGATACTTTTCTGTATTTATAAAAACATATGTATGTATATAGTTGTCTAAAAAATAATGCATTTCTTTTTTGTATTAAGTATACAGTTTATCAAAGCAAAGCCAATTTCTTTCTAAAAAGAATTTATTTCTTAAATTTTGCATTAAAAGAAAATTTACAAGAAAAAACTATATATATTATAAGTATATAAAAATATAAAATATTTATGTAATTGTAGCTTCCCATATCATATATGTAAGTTTCCACTACCAGAGAATTTAAATGTAATAACCAGGGATCATGGATAAGACATATTTCGAGTTTTTTAAAACATATTTTAGGTTTTAACGCACATTTTGACATTTTATTCTTCTTTTATCCAAAAAGATGGAGGGTATATTGTTTTTATCATTCCATTTTAAATATTGGTCCTCGATAAATTCTAAGACGATCTAACCATGTCCGTCCGTCTGTCTGTTGAAAACACGATAGGATCCGAACGGAAAGAGCTAGTTGGAAGTTTACACAAATACACACACAAAAGAAAAACATAATCAAGTCATATACGAACCACAATCTTCCTACCAAATTTTATGAGGATCGGCCCATAATTGACCCTACCCCCCATATAAGGTTCCCTTGAGAATATAACTTTAACTCTCATTATTGGTTTAAAAATTCAAGCATAGCGATGATATTCGACATAAATAAGTTTTATAAAAATCAAAATCTATGTACCAAATTTTATGAGGATCGGCTCATAATTGGCCCTACCCCCATATAACGTCCCTTTACAAAATGACTTTAAACCTTATTACGTGTAGAGCGATGAAATTTGACATAATCAAGTTTTGTATTAAGCAAAATAGGTCTACATAATATTATGATGATCGGTCCCCTTCAGAAAATGACTTTAAGCTTATTACTGGCTTTAAAATAAGAATATAGTTTAAATTCGACAAAAACAAGTTTTATAGGAAATGAAATCTAAACTGATCATATCACCCCATGAAAGTTCCCCTTTTGAAAATATCTTTAACGCTCATTACTGGCTTAAAAATACGAGTACAGCGATCAAATTCGACATAAACAAGTTTTGTTAGAGCCAAAGTCTCTGTACCAAATTTTATGAGAGTAATTGGAGCTACCCCCTTCAGTTCAGTAGATAAGTGTTATCCAAACCGATGAGGATTGCTACATAATTGACCCTACCCCCAAATAACCCCTCTTACAAAAAAACTGTTTATGGTTATACCAATTGGACAAAAACTATTTGTTTTAAAAAATTAATATTTTTAATTCGGAAGAGCTCGGTCCATATATTTTTATATATATACTTATGGTAAAAAATCAATATAATCTTACAAATGTGAAAATTGTTTCGATAATAACAAAAGCATAGATCCAAAAATTTTAAAGTTTATTTATGGCATTCCTTCCATGGCATATGCTTTGATGGTGGATATACAAGATTTGGCATAGCCGAATATAACACTCTTACTTGTTAACTCTTATTTTTAAATTTTTCCAAAATTTTATAGTCTGTTTTATGGTTTGTCGTTTGGAATTTTTAGGGACCAAATATGGCATTATTTATTTAATTAATTGCTAAAAATAACATTTCGACTCTATATTTTTTTAAAAATTCAGTTCTTCAAAGAGGAATATCATTTATTTCAGAATATAATTTTTAGCCCTTTTTAGATTTTCAATGTTAAAAAATCATTAAAGATTTTATTTTTAGAACATTTTAAAGGACATGTTTTCATTATTCACTGCAATTTAATGCTCATATGACACTTTTTCACTATTCTCCAAAATTACTTATTTTACAGAATTCCAAACTTGGTTATACAGAAGTTTCACAATATGTGTTGTCATCTTGGTCTTTACGAGACTAGATTTAACTTTTATTCGCCATTAAACACCCCAATTGATTTTCGAACATTAAGTTTCTTTAAGGCTTTTCAATTTTAATTTCACATTTAAAAAGCTGAATTACAAATAATTTTACATTAAAAAGCAGTTGGAAATCGACACTGGTGAGTTATGAATTCTATTATTTAAAACTGACTAGTATGACTTCTTTAAATGTTTTTAAAAATTTGAAGGAATTTTTTGTGTATTTACATACCACGTCATGTATTCCAGCCAATGGTATCGTATTCCCATCTTCCCCTTGATTGGCAACATATTTTTCCAATTTTTTTAACTCTTGCTCCACTGGCGTCCATTCTCCTTTCATGGACAACGCTAAAATTTTATTCGCTGACTCACGTATGGAAGCTCCTGCACTTGGTGGCTTCGGTGTAGGAGCGCCATCGATTTCTTTACGATCACCATTACTCGAACTATCATCTTTGGGATCGGACTCAGCTTTACTGGCGGGAGTATTTCGGTCACTGGCCGCTACCGATTCATCGGGAGTATTACTAGTCGCACCACTCGTTACAGAGGAGGGTGTATTACGACCTATTCCCTTAGCGGCCGCACCTCTTCCTCCTCGTTTACCGGGTTGAGACATTATGAAATTTTAGACATTATTTTACTTAATTTATTAGTGTACATTAGTTTACTTTTCTGGTTTATTACACAACGTGTTTAAATTTAATTTTCCTTTGGCATACTTGGCCATATTGAAAACCTCATTCGAACTTATTAAAGATATTTATTTTTTACATTTCATTTACTTTTAAAGGATTTTTATTTTTCATTTTTATTGTGTTGTATGAATTTAATTTTCTTTTATTTTTCACTTTATTTATTTTCCATTGCTTTTTTTAACTACCAATCTATCTATAAAGGTAAACCACTTTTTTCTTGTTGCCAAAAAATTTACATATTCATTGGTAACACATTCTATACAAACATACATACATATGTACATGTACACTCTCACAGACTTTTTAGCCAACATTCACAAATACAGCTGTTGTTATACACACAAACGCCTAATATTTATTCGTTTATATGGTTGTTACATATTCTTTATTTCTTTTTGCTTTCTAACCGCACCGTTTCCGTTTCCTTTGTTACTAGTATTTGTTGTTGTTTTATTTAATTTTTTTATACTATGTAACAATTAACTGCAGTTATATAGAATAATAACGCTTTTTTCTTTTTTAAAAATCAACCGTCAGCTTCGAAAGTCTAAAGTGTTCTGATTTACTTTTTGCCATATTTTAACAGTTAGACCTTGTTTGAAATTGTTAGCGAAAGGAACACAACGAAACTTAAGCCCATCAAGCTCTCTTCCTTAGCAACACAACGAAAGACTTGCGCAGCCACTTGATAAAGCGAAATAATTTTTTGGCGCCCTTTTCTTTGCGGTAAAACTTGTTTACAAACACGTGTTGATCTTAAAATGAATTCTTTCCAAAAATAATTAATATTTACATGTTTTATAATTTTATTTTCAAATAATGAATGAATAAATATATTTTCCCTAATTTGTATTAAATATTGTTTATATCGTTCTTAAAAGTATTATACTTAAATGGTAATACGTGATATAAACTTATTTATTTACTTAATTACTTTATTCTTATATTGTTTAGTAAACAATGATAAACCAAAAATACCGTTTAAGTATATTCGTTAAATTCTCTCAGTTGATTTTTCTTTGCCAAGCTTATGGTGAATAACTACCCGTCATTCATTTTTCACTTTTAAACAGTTCCTGTAATTTGAATTTTTGTATTTTTCCTGATGTGGTTTTAGGAAAATCGTCCACTATTCTCACATATTTAGGTACTTTGAAATAAGCTAATTTGTCCTTGCAGAATTTATTAATGTCTTCAACAGTCAATGGTTTAGCACCTTTCTTCAAGCGCATATAAACACAGATTTCTTCACCCAAACGATGATCCGGCACTCCAATAACCTGTTCGAAAAATTAAATTTTTCTTATATTGTTTTCTCATTAAAGAATAATTTGAAAAATGTATATTTACATGAGATTCTAGAACACTGTCGTGTTGATTTAAAAAGTCTTCTACCTCTTTAGGAAATACATTCTCTCCTCCTCTTATAATTACATCTTTTTTGCGACCCTGATACCGAGCCACACCATTAGATTCTAATAAAAATTGATCGCTGTGAAAAAAGTTAATTATAGTATATCTTTATATAATAAAGTATTATAAAAAATATATTTACCCAGTCTTCAGCCAGCCATCTACATCCTTAGTTTTACGAGTATTTTCCTCGTCTTCAAAGTAACCTAACATGTTAAACCAACCGCGTATACAAAGCTCTCCCACTTCTCCGAATTTCAAGGTATTTCCCTTGTCGTCTATGATTTTTGCTTCACCATGGCTGAATATTTTTCCTACAGAATGTAGAGAACTTTCTAGGGTTTCAGAGCCATCTTGGGCAAAGACAGCCGCGGTACCCTCAGACAAGCCATATCCTATCACCATATCGCGTAGTTGAAATACTTTTTTGGATTGTATTGCAACTTCTGGACTGCAGGCCGAACCGCCTACAAATGCAGCCTCTAAGCTATCAACCGATTTTTGTAGTCTAGACTGATTATCCAGCATGTCAACAAACATGGTGGGAGTCCCAACTACTATATTGCACTTATCACGTTCTATGGATTCCAAGGCGGATACTGCATTAAATGTAGGACTTGGCAGACATACAGTACTGCCATAGTAAAGACAACTTGCCAATATGCTTAAACCAAAAGCATGGAACATTGGTACAGTAAGGCATAATGATTTGCCTTCTGGATGCAATCTTAAAGCCCTTCCCATATAAAATGCCTGGTTAACCATGTTGTAATGCGAGAGTAAAGCAGCTTTAGGCTGACCCGTTGTGCCCGATGTGAATTGTATTACACAGGGCATTTCAGGCGAAATCTCAGTCATCTTTATCTTCAGAACGTCTGCATTTTGTAGGTCAGATTTCTTGTTTAGCATATCATCATAATTTAAGAAATTTTCCACCTTCTTATCACTTTTTATGATAATTGAAAGTGGACTTTGCTTAGTGCTCTCTGCTGAGTACAATTGTTTCAGTTTGTTTTGAAAATCTAATTTGCCATAGGAATCCATTGTTATTAAACACTTGACTTTTGCCTTCTTCAAGGCATATTCCAGTTCGGGAACTTGTAATGCGGGATTGATACATACCAAGGGAAAACCTCCAATGGCAGAAGCCAAAAAGGTTATGTACCATTGTATGGTGTTGGGAGCCCAAATTCCCAAATGATCTCCATGTTTTAAACCCATTTCTTGAAGTTTTACCGCTAAATTAATGGCCTCTTTATATGATTCTTCAAAACTTAAATACTTTTGTTCGTAGCTAGATTTTATAGCTATCTGTGGTCCATATTTTTCAACAGCTCTTTCTATGTGTTGCCCTAAATTTTTATATTGTAAAGGTTCATTTCCAGGCTGGTGTGTATAGGCAAATTTACTACAGCTATTGAAAAATAAAAAATTGATATCAATTAATATTCTTTACATATCCCAAATCTAATATATGTAAGTACCTACCATCTGTAATGGTTAAAATTTAATATCACTTTGTGTTTAAGTATATTTCTTAATAGCATTTTAAATTGTTTGTTTTTAGAACGATTTGAAAACTGATCTTGAACCTTCGGAGACTTTTAATTGAATGGCAAACGTACGCGTATTTTTGTTCTTTGTAAGCGTTTGTTTTTACCAAGAAATTTTCTAAGTAAAATAAGAGTATTTGATTATACTCTTACTACAACATAAGAGACTTATTATCTGGGTTTTGTTTTTTATATATTTACCATAACATAAGTGTAATAAATTAAACAAAGTAATCTAATGATAATACCCTACGTGCGGTTAAAAAGTTACAGAATTTATGTAACTAAAAACTTAATATACTTAAATAGAATTTAAATTTAAATTCAACTAACTGCGTAGTATTCAGTTTGAAACATAAAAAATTGCAATTGCATTAAAATATTTTGAAAATATAATGTAGGTTTTAATATGTTTCTCATTTTGAAAATCGACAAAACTATATGAAAGCCTTTTGTACGACACATATTTTCTAGTGTTCAGTGCCAAATGTTTCTACTTTATTGATATAGGTTTAAGTAATTTTTTCTTAATATCTTTTGGCCTATAGAGTGTTTCCCCTGTTAGCTTCGTCTACTTAAATACTCCATATAGAGATTATTTTAGTTTGATATGATATGAAATGCTCAAGACTACTAGTTAAAAGCAGTTTCTTTAAATTTATGCCAGATCATTTTCAGGTTACTTAAGTATTAGTATTAAAATCAACCTTTCAGAGATTTGATAGCAAATGACTGAATTTAATAAAAATTATTGTCGGTCAAAGCACTTGCATTATTAGGTCTTCTTATCTTTGCACAAGCCAAAAGTACGTTTTCTTTGTGGGAATTGTTATGTATGTCGAATTTTATATACCCTATTATTTAAGATAAGAAGATTATTAAGTTGTCTCGTAATGGATGTAATTGAAATATACATTAGGCTAGATTAATAGGAGGATGTACATATCTACATCAAATTAGATTTAACTTTGTCCACTGATATCGCCCTAATTGCCTTCTGGCTGTAGGTAAATACATATGTTATGCCCTGTGGGCGCCATATTTATTCAAATACAAATTCACATTCCTTTACTGCTCGGACTTCTTCATAAAAGCTAGTGTTGTGATTAGGAAAACATACATTATTAAGATGTATTTTAACCTAAAATGCATAACAATTTAATTCAATTCATTCTGGAATTAAGAAGAAGTAATATTTCGACTTATTTAATAGTAATTACTTAGGGTCTTATTTTATAAAACGAAACGACAAACGTTCAAAAAAATTTGTATGGAAAAATGCATATTTTCAAAAATTTCCCAGTATTCTTCATACAAAATTTTTACGTTAACGAAAGTTTCGTTTTATAAAATGAGGGGGTTAATAACAAAAATATATTATAATTAAGTAGTATAAATTTATATTCTTTCAAACAATTGTCAAATTAAATTGCATTTAACGCTGAATCAATTTCATTTGAATTAAAAAGATGTTTTTGACTGCTATGTGAAGGGTAAATGTGAAACGCATTGAATAGTTTTTTATATTTAAATAACGAAACTATACATACATATGCATACCTAAAACGCAAACGGCCCTAACGAACCAAAAATTCAAAATCGATTTTATTGCTGATTGTAATGTATTGCATCAAAACAAGTGTCCACAAAAGAAATTAGACTCATTCGACCAAAATTTTATTTACAAAAAACAAAAGGTCCTATCTATAAAAACATTTAAATATTAAAGGTAAAAAGTGCAATTTATCCATTTTTATGTACGCCATTGTCAAATGTCATAACAAATAATAGGTTTCACTATTAAACAATTTGTTTATTTTATAAAAATAAATCGCGTTGAATGAAATAAACTTTTCAATTTTCAATGTTTTGCTTCGCCTGTAAAATTTTAAAAATGTTAGATAGGGATGTTTGCGTTTTAGGTGACGATATGTATGTACATACAAATGTATATATGTATACAAATGTATATATATAATGTGTACCGATCGTTTAAAAGCACAAAGAATGTTCTCAATAATAGCAATTATTAACATTAAAAATATTATTGGTGTGTTCAATTACACAACGTTCTAAATACAATAAATATTTCAAGACAGCTTTTTTAAGTGATCGAAAAATTCAAATATTTGCTCTAGAATTTTACAAATTATATCATTTTAAAATCTTAAATAATTTTTCATTAAGCTCAGCAATGTAATATGATCATTAACTAAGAGGTGAGTGTTTAACTAGAATGTCAATGAAAAAAAAAACCGCTTTCGAACTATTCTTTTCCGATGATTTTAAAACTCTTAACTGAATGTTTACTGGGAAATCCGATCCTGTTACTCTAAATTACAGAGTCCATAGTCTACACAAACATTTCGCAGCATTGATTTTATTAGCATTTGCTTTAATGTTATTGTTCCAATATGGTACAAGAATGAAGTCGATCAATTTCAATTGCACTAAAATACTTTTTTTCTTATTGTATTAATGTTACATATAAACGTACATACAGAATAACAGAAGTCAAAACTAAACTGTTCATTAAATATTTTGATGTTATGTTCACATCAATGAAAATAAAAATAACGGTTTAAATCAAAATCATTATACAAATAATACAATGGTAATTACAATTTTTTATCTAGATTTGAATTGTTCAAATAGGGCCACTTTGCCATCCCTGATATATACATGTTAATATACATATGTACATACATATGTATGTATGTTCGCACATTTCTCTTCATTTGTATTTATACCCTACTCCACCATAGTGTGTTTGTGGTGAGGTTTGGGCTTGTAACGCACAAAAACATTGGTCCTACACTATTAAGTATACCGATCTGCTCAAAATCACTTTCTAAAGGCCCAAATAGACTACACAAGTGGCTTGACAAACATACCAATATTTTACGTTTGTGCAAGCCTGTTGTGTAGTGTATGAGGGTGTTTCCTGTTGGTACAAATGCTTGCTGTTTGTTTGTACAAAAATTTAAAAATTTTGATTTTTACACAAACATATTGAATTTTTGTCAAACCATTTGTATGGTTTGTATTCAATAATAACAAATTTTTCAAAAAATTTGCATTTCTAAGAAAAATTGACATCTGTATCTTTGAAAGTCCACAAAAGCGTGAAAAAATCGGTGTTTGTACGAGCAATGTTTGTGTAATGTGTGTGCGAATGAAAAAAGTATGTTTGATAAGCCGCTTGTGTAGTCTATTTGGGCCTTAAGACGATTAAGCCATTAATCTTTCAATGAAACTCAGCATAAATAAGTTTCATAAAGAGATAAATCTCTCCTCCGAATATTATGAGGACCGACCCATATTTGACCCTATACTCCCTATGAGGCCACTTAGAAAAAATCAGTTTTTAAATAGCTTTATACATCGAATTAACGTAAAATTTAACGTAAATGTTTTTTTTTATAAAAAATAAACAATTTTTAAAATATACTCCCAACTCGTCTGGGTTATCATATGGTCGACCATACTTTTCTACTTTTTTTGTTATTGTTGCCATTTAACAGTGATCAAGAATATTAAAATAAAAACAAAAACTGAAAAAAATAAATAAACACAATTGGTATAAAAACATTTGAACAGTGGAATATTTTTAAACAACTACAGACGATTTTAAACTAATAAAAACTATATACTTCTTACTACAAGGTATTTAAACATACACACAATTATTTGTATATAATCTTTTAAAACCCACTGTTATGAGTATGGAATTTATGTATGTATATTTACTTAAGTGACTGATAAGTTTGTCGGCCGAGACGAACTGACAGTTTGCCTAATAGATTTGCCAGTAGTTATAAACAATAATTGAGTATCAAAACCAAAACAAAAACAAAATAAAATATCGAAAAATCATACATCCAAATTCACACACACGTGTCTTTACTTTAATGTAAAATTTATTATTTAATTTTAAGATAACGGTAAATTTGTACTCGTAAATGCACAGTGGGCAACGCCCGGTTAATCAAATAGACCTAAATTTGCGAATTTCTTATATTTCAAGAGAGAAATGTTAATGCCTTTAATATGATGTTTTATAATTATAGATTGTAATAAGAATATTATTATATTCATAATTTAACAATAGTGATAATAAAAACAACAATAATTTGTCAACAAAAACACACGATAGGTCTGGCTGTAAAACGTGTGTAGACAAAATCGGCATATACTTATTTTGATAATCGTGTGTGTAAATTTAGACATCTGGAGAAAAGAGTTGTTGTTTATAGTTTTTATTTATACGAGGATATATTTAAAAGTTCCTTAAATATGTTAACTAATCTTCGTATGTATTTATGTACATGGGTCAGTTAGATTTTTTGATAAAGAGAACATTGATGTAATAAAAAATATGTATGTCCATAATTAGGTACTTAACAAATAATTAATACAGTATTTCAGTTTTCTAATTACTTAAGGGATTGTTAATCAAGTACAGTACTTCGGTTATCACCATTCTATAAATTAGAAGTAAAATTATTCCTTATTCTTTTGATAGAATCAAATCATTTTTTGGAATTTTAATATACGAAAACTACTAATTTTTAATGTTTTCTTTGTCTAAATATAATAAAAAATACTCTCTATTTATACATTAACTTCTCAGATTGCCTACGTAACTCAAATACAAATGTACCATAATACTATAAATACTACCACTAACAACAATTGTTTTCTAACATAAAGGCAATCAACACACTGTACTGCATAAACGTGAATCTTTTACAACTGTTAAACAGAGTTTTCATTTTAATTCCAAACAAAACCAAACATTTAGTTGTTATCGGAACGCTCAACACTCACGATCGCTGAGAAACCTAATCAAAATAAACAAAATTAACTTAATTTACAGAAGTGTTTAATAAATAAAATTTTGCACTACTCAAGAACAAATAAGATAATAATTAAAATAATTAGCTAAGTATTAAATTAAAAGTATTCCTATCATTCTGAGTGCCAGTTCCGATAAAACTATTTTATTTAAGTTTTTAATTTCTGTTAAAAATGATCAATAAACGGTTACAAATTATAAGCAAACATATTTTTGAAAAATATGCAACCAAATTAACTAAAACGTCATCATATCGCGGGTAAGTTCACATTGTCTGCAATGTGCGATCAAATAATCGCACTAGGGAATAAATATACAACTATTTTATTATTTTATTACATAATAAAATAAACACAGACAGTATTTAGCAAACATTTTAAAGTGTGTTTAGAATAACAATTGGTTTAATATGAAAGTTCAGTCATTGTTCCTATGTACAGATTCTTATACATAATAGAAAAACCAAGAAAAAAATTGCGTCTTAAAAATGAAAACAAAATAAATTCGTACAAAAAAACATAAAAATTTCGAATTAATTATTATGCTAAAATTTAAATAACTGTCTGAACTATAAACCAAAAACAAAACCGGTGTATATACAATTTTATATGCTGAACATTTAGATAATACCTAAATACATATGTGCATATATAATTTTTAAATATACATACATATGTATGTATGTATGTACATATGTATATACATATGTACGATGAAATTCAAGTACAACGAGTAAAAAAGCATTTCAATAACATAACAATTATTTTTTATTTCTATTACAAATATATTATTTTTAGCTTCTCTTTTAATTTAGAAAATCAATTAAATTTATTGAATTTTATAAAAATTTATTAAAATATATATTTACGAGAAGTTAGTTTTATCTGAACTTGACTGTATATTTTAACAAAATTATGATCAACTTATTTATGATTAGAATTTTTTGTCGTGTGGTCTAAATAAATACGAAATATACTTGTGTACGTTAACATTAGAATGACTAGACATAATTTTTAATAGAAATATTTAAATATAAAATTTACGAAAAAAAATTGATAAGATGTTTCGCATTCAATATACTATAAAAGAATTAATTTAATTTAAATTAATATTCACGCCCTCAACACACACGGAATAAACATATCGCTTTTTTAATTGTGGTTGTAATGTTCACAAATAATGTTGATTTTATAACAGAACTTTATGATCACGATTGCTTTTGGATGAAAATATTATATAACACCAAAGTCTATACTTAAGTTACACCACATCTTCAATTTTTCATTCTGTGGCCTTTTGTTACAAAAACATTTAAGATTTTTTGATATACTTACATACATACATATGTACATTAGAGTGTCCCGAAGAACAGCTTTTGTAAGAATTTCATGTAGGAATACCTCTCAATCGATGCGTATTAGTGTAATGAACACGAGAAAACTTAAAAATATTTTTTTTTTCAAATGGTCCTCAGTTCCATACCAGCGATTGAAAGTCCTGACCTATAGGTCTCAAAAATTCCGTAATTTTCTGCTGATAACGGGAAAAAATTTTGTAGAGTATTTTTGGTCCACAAAATGATTTTTAGTGGGCTGGAGAGGCATATTATTTGTGATCAATAAATAATTTTTATTATTATTTTTTTTTTTTAATTTACATATTTTTAGTTTAATTTTATTTCTAATTTAGGAAAATTTGAATTTGATCCGTATAAGCAAAAAAACATGTTTGTGATCAGGAGTTTAAAATTTGGCGAAAAAAATAAAAATTATCTAAATTAGTTAGTACTTTAAATGGTAGGAGTTCAATTATTTTTATCAACTAATTATGAGAGAATTTAATTTGCTTTAATTCTCCTGATTAAAAAATGCGAAAAAAAAAACATTTTAATATATTACTTACGTACGTTCATACATACCTATGTGCTTATAATGGGTGTGTTTCTAAACTTAAATATTTTATTCTAGACCCTTCATACATACATGTAGCTAAACACTTAAAAAAATCATTTTTAAATATTTGATTAATGTCATTATTAGTTTGATCTACTTGAAAATATACAAGTGCTTTAGATTTGAAATTATTTAAAAAAAGAGGTTACTTACCCCTTTATCAGTTATAAATAAATACATTCATACATATTTTTTTTATTTATTTGATGGAATTAAATTTTTTATCGAATTACGGACTATAAATAAATATTTAGTGTAACAAACGATGATTATTTTTAATCAAATTTGTTTTTATGGAATAGTTGAAGATATTATACGTAAAAATAGGGAGAAAATTCAAGAAATTAAATATTGAAGTATTGAACCAAAGAATATGTGTATAAAATTAATTAAAATTTATAGAAAATAAAAATGCAATTCACCGATAACAAATAAGTTGCATTCATATTTAAATGTTAAACTTTTAGATACAATTAATTATTTATGCATGCATCCCAAGCTCAAATTTTTTATTCGAAATTAAAAACACAGTTCGCATATTAAGTATTTTAAAATTTAAACCCAATTACGTCGTTAATATATGTATTTTAATTATATACACAGGTTGAAAAACCTTAAATGATTTGGATATTTATTGGTATTTATTTAAATAATTTCTACCTCATTATATTAGAAAATAATATTATTTTACTGATAAAATAAAGTGAGCTTTTGATTTTTGCAGACATTCGTACACACTTTAGACTTGCTAATAAAGAAAATAAATATAATATTTTTGTTTAGGCAAAGATTTAAATATCGATTTTTAATAGTAATATTTATCTAAATGAGTTAACATATTTCCAAGTTTAGATTTAGAATTAAACCTTTTTTATATTTAACTCAAACTCACATACATACATGTATATGTATATTTTAGTTTTAATAGCGCCACGTTATATTTTATTTAATTTCAGTTTATCTACAGTCAGTCGCACACATTCCGCCACAGTAGAAGCCAACCAAAGTTATATTAATTACTTGGGAAAACATCCCTTTGTGTACCGCAATGTTGGCCAAGAGTTGGAACGTGCGGCGGCCGAATATAGCAGCACAGAGGCCATCGTTTCCTGCCATGAAGCAAAAAGACTAACCTTTAAGTCGCTAATAGATGAAGTAGATCGTTTAGCCGCCGGTTTTTGGAAATTGGGTTTGAAAAAAGGTGATCACATTGGCATATGGGGACCCAACAACATCCATTGGTATCTGACTATGTTAGCTGCTGCCAGAGCGGGTCTAGTGTCTGTTGGTATTAATCCCGCATTTCAAGGACCTGAATTGGAATATTGTCTAAAGAAAGTTAATGTAAAGGCTATTGTATGTCCTTTAACATATAAAAGTCAAAATTATTACGAAATCATACACAGCATTTGTCCAGAGTTGCCCAATAGTGAAAAGGGAAAGATAAAAAGCGACAATTTGCCCCACTTGAAGGCAGTCATCATCAATACAGATTCTCAGCTTAAGGGAGCTTTAACTTTCAATGAAGTATTGGATTTGAGTGACAAGCAGGGATGTGATGATATATATAAATTACAGCCTTACATTATACCGGACACAGCCTGCAACGTTCAATTTACTTCTGGAACTACAGGTCACCCCAAGGCCGCGGTTTTATCTCATTTTAATTTTGTTAACAACGCTATCCATATTGGAAACCGTAATCAATTAAAGGGTGCTAGAATATGTGTTCAAGTACCACTTTTCCATGCGTACGGTGTAGTTATAACAATTATGGCCGGCATGAGCCATGGGGCTACTTTAGTTTTACCTTCTCCCGGATTTAGCCCTGAACATTCTCTAAAAGCTTCAGTGGAGGAGAAATGTACTGTTATCCATGGAACACCCACAATGTATGTTGATCTCATTAAAAAACAACGAGAACTTAACCTGCCCCTGACAACTTTAAAGATGGCTGTGACAGGAGGTGCTCCTTGTTCCCCACAACTTTTCCTAGACATGAAAAGTGTATTAAATCTGCAGGAAGTTCGCACCATTTTTGGAATGACTGAAACATCTGCTTCCATATTCCAATCACGTCCTGGTGACACCATGGAACAGGTCTTGAATACAGTTGGTCATATTCAAGATAATATCGAAGCCAAAGTTGTGGATGCAGAGGGTAACATTGTGCCTTTTGGACAACCGGGAGAACTGCTAGTAAGAGGATATCTAACAATGTTGGGTTATCACGGCGATGAGGAGAAGACTAAAGAGACGATAGGAGCTGATAAGTGGTTGAGAACAGGGTGAGTAAATGAAATGTTTTTATCATGAAACAGTATTTATCAGTTGGCTTTTTGCTTGTTTTTTTATTTAGAGATCAATTTGTTTTACAACCTGATGGTTATGGCCGTATTGTTGGGCGTCTAAAGGAGATGATTATTCGTGGTGGTGAAAACATTTTCCCCAAAGAAATTGAAGATTTTTTAAATGCTCACGATGATATCTTGGAAACACATGTACGTGTTATCAAACATTTACTTATGTACATATGTATCCTTAAACTTATATTTTTTATTTCATTCGAAAGGTAATTGGTGTTCCCGATGAACGTATGGGTGAAGAAATTTGTGCCTTTATTCGTATGCATGATAGCACTGCTAAAATAGATCGTGAAACCGTTAAACAATACTGCAAAGGTAAATTGGCGCACTTCAAAGTTCCTCGGTATGTGATAACTGTCGATGATTTTCCAAAAACTACTTCCGGTAAAATACAAAAGTTCAAATTAATCGAACAATTTCAAAAGACATACGGCAAGTAGTAGTTTCTTCCTTAGTGATGTATCCAAAGTAGAATTAATTTAATTAAGTATATTTTTTATATATTTGTTTTAAAATGTTTTATATGTAAAATATTAATAGTAAATTTAAAAAATTTCCATATGTTAAAATGTGTTTCTTTTTTATTTGTAAAGGAAAATTAATTTATAGGTTGGCAATTCCATGTCTAAAAACAAGTAAGAAATTATAGTCGGGCGAGGCCGACCATATAATACCCTACACCTGTTACAAAAATAAAATGTGATTTAGCTTTCATAATGAAGCATTTCAGTTGAATTGTACTCAAAGCTCTAAAAGAATTCATTCCCTAATTCTTTTTTTGAGATTGAGTTATATTTTAAAGAATTAACAATTCTTCAAACTCATTCCCTTTGATTTAATTAATAGAATTAATTCTTAAAGCTTTCGATGTAGTTGAATTAATTCTCTTATGAATTAATTCCTATAGAATGTTAAATTCCTTCTGAATGAATTAATTTTGTTTACATTCAATCTGTTACAAATTGAATTAAAATAAATTTCAACAATTCCTATTGATTTTTAAATTCCCTCTGAATGATATAAATTTTGTTTGAATTCAATCTATTACAAATTGAATTTAAAAAATTTTCAACCATTCAATTTGAAATAGATTGAATGAAAGTTTTGTTTTATAATTCAAAAGCATTCTGTATATTAAAAATTGAATTAAATTCTTCCCTGGGACAACAGAAGATCATGTACCAAATTTCATTGAATTATCATCAAAATTGCGACCTGTAGTTTGATTACAAGGTTTACATGGACGGACAGACAGACGGACATAGCTAAATCGACTCAGAAAATGATTCTAAGCCGATTGGTATACTTTAAGTTGGGTATAGGACCAATATTATTGTGCGTTACAAACATCAGCACAAACCCAATATACCCTCCCCACTAAAGTGGTGTAGGGTATAATAATAATGTAACGCCTAAAAGTATGTATACATGCAGTTAGAAAATTAAAAGTAGGAAAAATTATTTTCTTTTCAGAATTTAAAAACCTTTTCTCTTTAAGCTACGTTCGCAATGCTGGGGCCAAATTCAAGCATTCGAAAACGATCGAAATTTCTAATAAAATTTTTTTATTGAAGTTTCGATCGCTTTTGAATGCCAGAATTTGCCTCCTGGAGTACTCCACTCTGCACTTCAGCAAAAAATGTAAACTGTTCAAAATACAGATTGAAAAAAATTCAATCTGTATTTTTCAAATTGTAGAAATTTGTCAAATAAATAAACATAAATGAAGTAATAAAAATTGTTACAGGATGCACTAAGTAAGGTGAAATCGTTAAGGCAGCTGATTTTTATTTGTTTATTAAAAAAGTGTATGGGTTGTGTCAAAATAAATTATTTTTATTCTGAAAAAATTTAATTTGTATTTATTTATATAATTATTGTATTTATTACGTTTGTTGCCGAAACGCTCTCACCTCACTTATTACATCATGAATTATTTATTTTTTATTCAATTGTTAGGGCCGTTTGCGTTTGAGGTGATGATATATAAATCATTTTGGGATTTTTTACGATCTGCCAATTATTGGTTATAGCGTCTTTTTAAAAAAAAACTAATCGAATATAACACTCTTACTTGTTTGTTAATGAAATTGCTAATTTTAGTCAAAAGAGTACTTTTATGAAACGTTGGCTAAACGTCACAACAATATTTACAATTTCAAATGATTAATATGCTTAAAATGACTTAAAGGTAAGCATTGATGTCAATTTACTTACGACTTACAGTTTCATCTTTTAATAAATAAAATTAAGAGACATTTTTGATTTGTGGTTGAAAACAATTATACTGTATTCTTCATTTGTTATTTTAATTGATTTTATAATATTTTTTGTTGTTAGCAAAAAATTGCTGATAAATTATTACTTTATTATTGTTGCTATACTTAAACATTACTCCTGGGTTTTACTTTTCATTTTATTTCTTTACCATAATTAAACACCACTCAGACATACAAACATACATATTATGCAGGGCGGGGGATTATTATATTATATAATTGTTAAAATGTGATGCTAATGTTGTTTTATTTATTATTTTTTTTTTTTCTGGAGAAGATTTCGTTTTGTGGATGCGGTTATTTTTTAAATTTGTTTATATGTATATTAAATTATAAGGATATTTGTATTAAGATTTAGAGATTGTTTTGTCATAATAAAATACTTATAAAGGTAATAATAAATTAAATTTTATATTATTAATAAGAACAATACGCAATAAATTAAGCTGATTTATAAACAAGTTTTACTTAGACAAATTACATTGAATTTAATTTGACTTTATAACTCAACTTTAATTATTTAAGATAATTTGTTTGAAAATTTTTGTTGAAAATACACACTCAAATTTGTTACGAGAATCATACCAACATTCAATTAAAAATAAAATATATAAATAAGATGGATTAAATTAACTTAACTAAAAACTAAACAAAACAATGTAAATAAACATAACAAATAAATTAAAGCTAAAATTTGTTTAAAACTAAAAACAACATTTTGTTAAACGTGTTCCTGTTTTTTAAATATAATTATATTGATGTAACTCTTGTTGTAATAACTAATTGTGATCCATATTAATTAAATTACTAACTAAACTTACTTTAAAACATTGGTCTCTGAAAAAATTAACGAAAAATAAATCGATTTCTTGTTGAAATTCTTTTCGATCTATAGCAATGCCTGTAATACGTACATTACTAAATTAATCAGTTTTAACCAATTCGAAAAATGCTATAAAATAAGTTAAAACATTTCTCAAAGCTGTTATCAATAGATTTTGATATTTAAAATATGAATGACTTGTGAAACAGTACATTAGGGAAGGCAAAAAATGCGCTTTAGTGACAATATGTTTAATTTATTGTATTTTATTTTTAATGCAGAAGTAATTCGAATTGCTTTTTTTATTTAAATATGCACACTAAAGCTTTTTTCAGGAGTTTTATTCTGCGAATATTGAAATATTTTATAAGCAAATCTATTCAAGAAAAGAATTATGTGTACATAATGACCCTTCAAGGTAGGATCGAGGAAAAGCTTCTTTATACCAAATTAAAATAAAGTGGGAAAAAACTTGAACGTTATATAAGCCTTCAATATTTTTTTTATAACTTAATGTTACATTTGTGTTTTTAGAATAAAATTAACAATTAAATAATTAGATAATAATTTATACATATTTATATAATCATTATTACTATGACTTATTTACTATAGATACTTTAATATTGATTTTCTTATGCAATTCTCCAAGTAAATTAAATTTAAAGTCAATGTTTTACACAAAATGTTTTAAGAAATAAATGTTGTAATGTACTATAAATAAATAAAAATTAAATGCATATCATGCAATTAATTTATTTTGACACCATTTTAACAAAAATATTGTTAATTTTATTAATTGTTGAAATAATGAAGAAGAATTTTTGAAATTAATTATTTTTTTCTTCAAAGCTCAAACACTTTTCAGTAAATAATCACATTTAACAAATTATTATCTAAGTTGATTCACATAAACTCGATTTATATGAATTAACAATTTAATAAAATAGAATTTATTTAAAATTCGTATAACAATATGATAATTAAAAATGATGTCTTAAACTTGGCATTAGCAAAAATTTCTTCAAATTCTCTAGTAAACAGACGGCATTTTTTGGTTTTATTTTCAGCAAATTTTATCTTGCAATTTTCTCTAACCAAAATTCAAATAAATTAATATTTAATTTGTTTTTTGTATAGTTTTAGTTTTTTCACAACTTATGCAAATAAAAGGCGTATTTACTTTGGTTGAGAATACATTTAAATACTTTGATTTGTTTTTACCAATTTTCTAAGATTATAATCAATATCCTTTTCATATTTTAGTTTCTTTTTTTATTAATATATCACTTGATCTCTTATACGCACAACACAAGTATAAGAGACATTAAGAGCAAATTTGTTAAGGTTTTTAAATATATTTTATGTTTTGTTTTATCATTTTAAATTTTTTTTTTTTTTTGTATGTTTTATTTTTGTGGGGTATTTTATAAATTCGCATAAATAAATAAAATATGTACATAACAAAATTCCAAGTATATTTCATTTTAAAGGTAAAAATTAAACTAAACAATAATATTAAGAGTTGGAAAAACTTGAAAAGTGAAAAGGAAATAAGTCAAGAAAAATTAATTTTTTTAAACGCACCAAAAGATTGTTGCTGGGTTAGATAGTAAGTTAATATTATTGTAGTTCTATATGCTATTTATAAATTTTAAGTTCTGGTGAAACGTATACACAATACACATACATTTAAAAACTCCTCCACCTCCAGTATTCGAGGCCAATCATTTTGTTTGAGATGTAAAAGGGAAAAGAGTCAAAAGTTTCAGCTGAATAACGGTATATCCAATATTCTTTTTTTTTTTTTGCCAACTATATTTTTTTTTGCAATTATTGTGTTCTTTTTTCAGTTATGTCTGCAATTCATTCTTTAAATTTTTCTTTTCTTTAAATTTTTTAATCTTTTAAACAACAATTTCCTATTTTGGTTAAGGTTTTTATATTTTCAAAAACTGTCCTCGTCATCTTCGTGGACTTGATACATTTCGCGAAATTCATGTCATAGTGTTGAGCTATTCCCTAAACCGTCAGCATCTTCAGACCAGCTGACCTCCATGGGAGTGCCAGATAAGCTATTAATTTTCTCAATAAGCAACACTTCCTCAAAAGACATGCGAGAGTTTTTCAGTTGATTCGATGAAGTTGTTGAATCAGATGCTGCCGAGGACGAAGCTGTACTGACCACATCGTCTGAGGAGGCGGAACAACTTTCATCTTCTGAATTTGTACCCGAAACCATTGCTTCACCTGCAGATTCTTGAATTTCTTGACATTTTTTGATGACTTTCAAGTCCTGCACAGAGGGATGGGAAGGTAAGGAGCGCATTTCTAAGCGTTCACCTTTATTTAAGGCTGAAGTGTCGCAAGTGATTAACTTGCTGGCCGAACTGCGTCTAAATAAGACTTCCTCAGATTCGTTATCAATTTTAAGGGTTGACGATCTGGGTCTCATTACATAGGGAGAGCTCGTTAGCACAGGTTCTTTCCAGTTAGTGGAGAGTTCATTTTTTCTCGTACTAGAACCGCCAGATAGTTGTCTAGATACTTTTTTAGACGATTTGGGCTGTTGCTGAGAGCCTTCGCAGCCCTTTATGCTTACAGACTTTGAGCGTATACGGGGATGAGAGCGGTTATTAAATTCATTTACTTCAACTTTGGAATGTTCTCTTATCACTGATGTGGCCGACATAGACTGGGATAGGGGATTGGGACCAGCCACCTCCATTAAACTAGAATTACAATTTGTCATGTTACCACCATAAGCCGCACTGGCACTAACCGACAATTGTCGTCTTGTCGAAGGACTGCGTTCCACAGATCTAAATGATCCGGCACGTTTCACCATTTTAGAGGCTGCCGCTTCAGGAGTCTCATCATCCATTTCAAGAACCCAAGATACTGAATCTGTTTTCTCAATGACCCCCTTTATCACGGGTGAAGTGGGTGGTGAAATATCATCCATGTGAATGGAGGAGGTTAATGAAGCGCCATTTTGTGAAGAACGATTGGCTACTGAGGTGGTGGAGATATCATGAGCAGAGAGTTCTTGTAATTTTGTTTCTACAATATGTAGTTGTTCGGAGCGTTGTTTCAATTGCCATTGCAAGGCTTCGTTGTCGTAAGAGAGACGAGTACGTTTAACAGTTTCATGGCTAAAGGCCTTTTGGACTTCATCAATCTGCCGCAAGTATTCTCTGTGAAAAAACATACAATTTTAAATAAAAAGGACAAAAAATATATATATGTTTTGACAAACTTACTTTTCTTTTTCTGACTTAATCTCCAGTTCCGAATGTAACATTTCATTTTTCGATTCTAACAAAGAGATTTTAGCTTGTAATGCTAATTTCTCATCAGCATCTCTTAATAATTCTTCATTTTGTTTTGTCAATTTGGATATTTCTTTCTGTTTTAATTCTAAAACACATCTTAAACTTTCAGCTTCGCTTTGCAAGCGATTTAACTCCATATGAGTAGATGATGTTAACGATGAAGTATTACGTGGCGAGCCAACACCACTTTCATTAAGACTTCTGCGAGAAGTTCTTAAAACGACAACTTCGTCGTTTGAGAGATTCAATTTTTCTTTCAGTTCTCTTTCATTGTTCTCTTTCAAAGCTTTTAATTTATCCAATTCTTTGGTAAGTTGTTTAAGGCGTTCGGTAAGATCATGTTCTCGTTCGGCTGCTGCTTGTAAACGGCCGGCATATGACGATTCTGTCTGTGTAAGCTGAACCCGTAATTGTTGTTCTGAAACTTCTAAGGCTTGTAAACGTTCACTCAACGATTTTCCATGTTCTTCGGCAGTATCTAATTGTTGTTGTTTTTGTGACATTTTATGTTCCATTTCAATGCGATATGCTTCCAAAAGGCGCTTATTTTCACTTTCGGAATTTTGTAATTGAGTTTCCAAAGAAGAAATTTGTTGTTTGGCCATGGTTTGGAATTCCACAAGATTTGATCGCGCTGTAACAGATACAATTTAAAGGAAATTAGTTAAATATCGCAATATTGATTAACTCATAATTGTGTTACCTTTTTCCAATTCACAGCGATGCAAGGCCTGGAGTTCATTTTCTCTTTGGGTATAGTAGACATCTTTGTCACCCAACTGGTCCTGTAATTCGGAGCAAACATTTTTGGCTTCATCGAGTAAGAGTAAAGTTTTCTTTAATTTCTCTTTAGTTTTCAAACTTTCCGATTTCAAAGAAGGACAAGCAAAAGCATCCAGCTAAAAATAAACAAAATTGTTATAATTAATTAAATTTGTTCTATTATATTTATAACAATTAGTTGAAGTGCCTAATTCAGGTAGTAAAATACAGGAGATGCAATTATAATGTAATTTGCACTTTAATGTAAATGAACCCATATTTCATCTCACTAAATTTGTAATACCTCGTTAAGTCATAATTATTTTCAATTCTCTAGTAGGTACAACAAAACTCAACATACCTCTGTAGGTGTTACAACTGTAAAATCGTGGTTAAATGTTCTTATTGTGGGTGATGAACAGGGTGTTGATGACCAAGATATTAAATCGAAATCCATAGTTTCATTAGATAATTTTTCATTGGAAAATACAAATTTATCAAACATGTTGAATTTATAAATATACAGAATAAAATAAGGTTTTAAAAACAGAACTAGTTTTGTAAATACAAAGTAAGGAGTTGCAAAATAAACTATGTGTTGAACACTTGATGGTTGAAAGTAAACTAATGATGAAATATTCTCTGGCTGAATATTTATACCAAATTAGCTTCATAGACATTAGCAGGTAGACGAAGAGATCCTCCTACAATAATTCCTAAAAACATCTGCTTATGGAAAGTACAGTGTGCACTTACATGCATACATACAGTGTCTCACATAAGTATTCGAATTTGGTTGTACTTTGAAAGGAAACATAATTTAATAATATTTTTGCGTGTGAAATGAATAATTAAATTTGTTATATTGTCTAGAAAGTCCTAAGGTTTAATATCGCACTCTGTTAAATTTGCAAAAATTACATTTACTTAAATTAATTTAACTTTTTTTTAAAAAAGTCCGTAAAATTGATTCACAAAAGTATTCGAATTTTTCTTGTATTTCATATTTGACCTTATTTTACGAAACACATAAATTATAATCAAATGATTTTTTGCTTAAAATTGTTTTAAGGGGTTATTATCAACCGAAATTATATATTTTTAGCCCTTTTGCTCCACAATTTTGGAGCATTTGTATCACCTTTTCATGTAATATCATTAAAATGACAATTTTTTACCGGATTTGCAATTTTTTCCTTTTTTCTGGAAATAAAACCAAAAATTAATATTGCGATTTAATATAGACCCCTTGAGGTATCTAAAAATAATAGTTTTTTTTATAAGGATCTGCACTTAAACTTTCCAAGACGTATTTTTGATATCGTTCTTCTGTTTCTATTTGAATTATCTGGATCTTAAGTCCTTTTTAGTACCACTAGGGTCAATATTTTTCGACAAAGTTAACTAGTATATATTCATGCAGATATTAGCAATAAAATATTTTAAATTTTCAATACATTATAGCGATATACAACTCCAAAACATGCCTTAACAAAACGACATACTATACAGTAGATTTCAGTTTTTAGTACTCGTAACTTTCACGCTTATGTTGCCCATTACAATAACACTGTAAGTATAAAATTTTGGGTTTATTTTGATCATAGTAAATAATATTTAAAAGATATCAATATTTTTGAGTTAGACCATAATGATATGGTGACATGCAGCCTGGAGGCCATTGTTATATAAAAAGAATGATTCTACTATATTGAAAGGTGTTTATTCGAGGCATGTTTTGGAGTTATACACTTCCACAATACATTGAAAACTTAAAATGTATAAAAGCTGATATCCAAAAAATACATACCAGAAAACTTTCCCCGAAAATTTTTGACCCTAGTATTATAAAAATAGTCCTAAGTTCCATTATATTGAACTAGCTACAGAAGAATGATCTCAATAATATATCTTAGAACATTTATATACAGATTCTTGTAACAAACAACATTATTTTTGGATATCCCAAGGGGTCTATTAAATCCCAACATAAAATTTTGGTTTTATCTCTGGAAAAAAGAAGAAAAAAATTACAAATATTTTCAAAAATCGCCATTTTAATGATATTACATGAAAAGAGGATACAAATCCCCTAAAATTGTGGACCAAATGGGCCAAAAATATATCCTTTCGGTTGATAGTAACTCCTTAAAACAATTTTAAGCATAAAAACCATTCGATTCTAGAATTTGTGTTTCGTATAATATGTTCAAATATGAAATACAGAATAAATTCGTATACTTTTGTGAAGTAGTTTTAGGGACTTTTTTAAAAAAAAGCTAAATAAATTTAAGTAAATGTAAATTTTTCAAGTTTTAAAAAACGATATATCAAACATAAGGACTGTCTAGACAATATAACAAATTAATTTATTTATTTTGCATAGAAAATATATTATTAAATTTGGTATCTTTTCATAGTTTACCTAAATTCGAATACTTATGAGAGACACTGTACATATGTATGAATGTATGTAGGTATGTGCTCGTCTCTTATCCTTAGAATATAAGATCTTTACTAATTGTGAGTATTTCTTATAAATAGTATATCCATCCATATACATATAACACCACATTTTACGATTCTGTTTGTTTCTGTGCGGTTAATACATTCTAACATGTAGATTATATTTGATTTGTACCAATAGAACGTCAAACAGTTGTTTTAGTTTGTCCTGTTGGTCGGGTTTGTTTTTTTCATCTGAATAAATAATAAATGTTTGAGTGAAATTGAATTTTGTTTTGCATATTTACTATTTATTTAAACTGCGATTATAAGCAAGGGTTATTCTAAAGGCTCTAGTTTGGTTTTTGTGGGCGTTTATTGTAGGATATTTTTGAATAAATATTAGAAGAAAGTATTCAAAATAAACAGAAAGTTTTATTACCTTTTAACAATACGCCTGTATAGCTAATTTTAGTACTTTATGAAAACTACAGATTTACCTATGATAAATTGTTATTTTTAAAACATCCAATTAAAGTACATACTTTATATTATTGCATTTATATAATTTTTGCAATTTTTATCATAAAATATATAGTTAAATTAAAGTTTACATTTTTATCATGTTAACCTTAACAGATGTTTTAATGTAGGATATTACTTTCGAAATTAAAAGCGAGATAACCTCTTTATCAATAATCCTTTATTATACGACAATTTACACTGTGATCCGAAAACCATTTTCGTGGATAACATTTAAAGTATGTTTATAAGGTATACAAAATTTAATCAAGGTAAACAAAATTTAATCAATAGAGTTAACAATTCGGCAAGATTATTTGTAATCTAAAGATTGGATCACAATTTTAACACTTTATTTTACTATAGAAAGAAAGAACTTTTAGGCGAAATGTACACAAGAAATCTAATGTTGACAAAAAACAATCGATATTAAATAGCGTATGAAAAAGAGAAAAAACTTATATTTCTATATAAATACTTAACATCTAATCTAATTTTAATTCTAAATTGTCGTGCAGATAGATTCGTTTTGTATATTGTTAATTAAATACATACCGCGTTTAGATCAACATATAAGAGAGCACATTAGACTTATTAGATATTTTTAACATTTTGAAACAAAATTTTAAAGTGCATAATTCGTTTATGTCTTTAAATCATTATGCGCGGTGATTAGTGTTTAACATCTAAAACCTGTAACACAATTAGCAATTACATATTAATATTTATTATAACAGACGACCAAAACTAGTAGCCGAAAACATTAATCTGTCACACAACATTCTTTCAGCATTAATGCTAATACCATACACATTGTCGTAAATGTGTACGAGTAATTAAATATCAACAGGTTAGAATCATAGACTGAAACATAAAAATTAACACTAAGTATATTCTTAATCTAGTCGAACTAACTAAATTTGTACTTAATAACTACAACACGGTCATAGTCAAATTAGAAGACATAAAATTTAACCGAAAATTTTTTGGAATATTGTCAGGCAGTCAGTAATTATACCTGTAGCCTGCCAGTCAATCACATCTGTGGTAGCAGCAGTAGTTTCTAACGACTATGTCGGACAAATTCATATAAGAAATTACACACCGCCAGGCAGACTAATACATACAACTAAGACTATCTTAGAACTACTTATAGACTTTTTCGTTTAGTCATAATGTCTATTATGCATAGATGTCCGTGTGTATGTATGGTTTATTATTAAACATTATAATTTACTTAAATGTTGCGTTAAAAGTCTTTAAAAATCTGAATTCTGAAAATGTTCAAAATATTATACAATAGAAATTTAAATAATGCATTATGAGTATATTACTATTGTGTCCATTGTATAGTTAAAGGAAATGTCTGTTTTTATAACAAAAAATATAATGAAATAATAGAAGTATCGGAAACAGATGTTTATAAAGTGTTGAAATAGTTGCAGACATATGTACTCTTTACCTATATTTATCTATACTTCTGTATGACTTTTATGGAATTCAAGATGCTACAAAGTTATTCACTAAGTAATTTCTTTTTTTTAGAGAAATTTAAGAAATGGTGACTACCAAATGGTTCTTAGATTATTGTACCTGGTTCTTAGATTATTGATCTTACTTATTTTAAGAGACAATAATCACTAGAAATTGCACTCACAATTCGCACATATGCATGTATGTAAATTCCAACGGCACTTATTAAAATGAAATTTTGGTTAACAAAATTAAAAAAAAAATAAAATTGTTGTGAAAAATAAAATTTTTTATTTACCATAAAAATTCGGAATTTTTGAATTTCAAAATTTATTACGCGGTAAAATCTTTTCAAAGTTTAATATATTTTCCAAAATGTTTTTTATGTTACCATATTAATTCTACTATACATTAGGGTGTCCCGTGGACCACTTTTTTGGAAGAATACCTCTCAAACGATGAGTTTTAATGTTCAAAATATGAGAAAATTATAAAACAATTGTAAATCTTGATCTCAGTACAAAAAAAAATCTGAAATGTTCCGTGATTTTGAGTTTATTGTAATTCTGGTCTGCCCAACGACTTTTAGTGTATTATAAAGAGCATATAAATTTCAAAAATTTCTGAAATGGAACAAACCAAATGCCAAACTATTTTTTTTAATATTTTATTTTTATCGTATGTCCTTTAAATTTTGAGGTCCTTTTACAAGGGACATAATAGCTGATTATGAAAAACTGAGTACACAGAGTTAATACTAATGGTCCACAGTTTCCTGTACATATAGATTTTTTCATGTATGAAAACGACATGGTGATATACATACATATGTATGTTATTATATAGGTGCATATGTATTTATGTAAATAACATCATTTACCGAAAAAATACATCTTAGTTAATTATTTTCATACGTTTTCTCGATTTTGCTTTTCAAGAATTATAAAACAACATTGACTTAAACTAATCAATGGGCTTTTAATGTAGTGTTAAGTCAAATATTTTCACAAAGAACTCTTGTAAAAATATTTACACACATGTCAACTATTGCAATATGCACTTTTTAGTGGCACAATTGTATTGTATAATCACCCATTTGTTTGTTGCATGTAAATACAGCAGATGCTTGCTTTACGAAATTTCTATCTTTAATCCCATAGCACATATATTAAGAATCCTAATTTTAAAACATCTTACATTCAATTTTGAATTCTTCATCGATAAAATTACATAAAATGTATGAATGCTGCATGTATAAATAAGCATTATGGTTAGTTAAAAGGTAACATTTTAAGATCACTTTGCTGAATAAGACTCATTCATTATTCATTCGAACACACAATAATGCCCTCTATTTTTTATAAATAAAATAATATTTCGATTCAAAATTATATTATATTGATTTTATAAGAGTTGTTCTTTTAGGGTCTAATATACAAGAACATAGTTACCCCGGTATTCGCTAACGATTATTTAAGTTATAAAAGGCTTATAAGAGTATTTATACCCTACACCACTATGCGTTTGTGCTGATGTTTGTAACGCATTAAAATATTAGTACTATACCCACCTTAAAGTATACCGATCGACTCAGAATCACTTTCTGAGTCGATTTAACTATGTCCGTCCGACCGTCCATGTGTCCATGTAAATGTTGTTATCAAAGTACAGGTCGCAATTTTCAAGATAATTTGATGAAATTTGGAATACACGTTCGTTTGACCCAAGGACAAATTGAAAATGGTTAAAATCGGTCCATTATTTCACCTAGCCCCCATACAACTGAACCCCCCGAAAAGGGCTTTTGAACTATTATGTATAATATAAATGTATCGATGAAAGTTCGCACAACTAAGATTTATACAAGCCTTGATGACCTTGCCGAATTTCGAAATGATCGGACTTCATTTGACCCTAGCCCCCATACAAAGCCCCCTATTAGCACTGTTATTGCAATGAAATTTAGCACAGACAAATATTATATAAATACAAATCTATCTAGCCCATTTTTCATTTGCTCCTATCCCATATAAAGCCTCTTTTAGAAAATAAGTTTTTCGTCAATAAATTGCTTAAATAAATCGGAATCAAGGTAATAAATCACATTTAATGTTCATAACTGGTGTAGGGTATCATATGGTCGGCCAAGTCCGACTAACTTTCTTACTTGTTTTTAATAGTATTTATTAAAAAAGTAGTTTCACAAAAATATTATGTAGTGTGCCACGAAGGTCCTTGGTTCATATCTAAGGCACTGGTAAAGGAGCGCACAACTGGTGCTATGGAGGCATAAGTGTATTTCTTCTGATTTGATGTATACAAATACATTCTCCTTTCAAACTAACTAAACTAACTAAAAAAGTATAAATAAAAAATGTCTTAATATGAAAATTTCCACCCAAAGTATTAGATCCCGAAAAGATTTCTTAAGCTCTATTTAAGTATTTCTTTATCATTTTGGAAGGACAAGCAAACCATTAATGTCTAGTCAAAATACAATCTTATGAACAGAGGCGTAAAAACACAACGACTTCTATGAGATGGAAAAAACAAAATGGAAAAACGGATATGTCGATTCGAATTAATTTTAGGAAGCAAAAAAACCTACTTATGTTAAGTGTTTATCAAGATGATGGGATTCCATGGGGTTTGCCGCTATTGAAAATTAACATATTGTATTAAAAGACAATCATGAGAAATATATTAACAAAAAATTACCTGAAAAATACTAAAAATATTAACGTCTAAATATTTATCAAAATGTATAAAGAAGATAAATGCAAATACTTAAAACCAATACAGGTAAGGAGTGGAAAATACCATTAATCAATAAAAATATTCTTAAAATGGATTAAAATGAATTTAACAAGAACATTGTTTGCAAAAATAGTTTTTAACTCAAAACAAAAAGAAGACAAGTTCATTTAATTTCGTATAAAGAAAGTGGAATGCGTTTTTAAACCGTAAAATTCAACACCTCTTATAAACAAGTACAAAAAACAACACTGCCAACCCTTTTCATTGAGACAATTAATTGAAAACAAAGAGTAAATAACTAAAGGGATCTGCATACAGGCAGTCGAGACGTCTTTAGTTCTCATTAAAAGCAACTACAACAAAACAATAAATGACCAGTATAAAAAGGATACTTTTCGAAAACAATAAACATACATATTAAAAAAGAACTAAATATTTTTAAGGAAAAACTAGAACAAAATCACTTATCAATACATACATATGTTTGTATGTAGACTGTAAACTGGGCCAAGAAAAATTATCTTACCTACTTCACTTTACTTTACTTTACGTTTTTTTCGTAAAAAAGCAGCTGGTGTATTGTTTTCCTATTAATGAAATACAATTGTTACAATTAAAACAATTGTACTAATTTAAATTTAAGCCAGTGGTTTAAAGACACTTTTTTCAAAAGAGGCTGTCAAATGTACTATAAATTATTACCTTCTTCTACCCGTAGTTATACTGAAGATTTTGCCTATAAATGAACAGATGCACAAAGACAATCCCACTTTTTAACTTGGCGCCACTTAAAAGAGGACTCTGATATTTTAAGGTGTTGTTGGATCAGAAAAAAGTCTGGACTATAGTCTAATTTATAATATGGATTATAGTCTGAACTATAGCCCAGACCATAAACTTGTCTATAATCTGAACTATAGTCCAGTAAGTATATAGTTTGGACTATAGTCCGAACTATAGTTCAGTATGATGTTTTAGCTTGATAATACAAAAAAGTTTGGGTTACGTTGTTCTACTTTTTGCTATTAACATTTTTGTCATGAAAAACTTATTTAACCAGAGCAAATAACAGTTTCAAAACAACATCTTGAAATCGGTTGTAAAAAAAGTTTTTTTTTTTCAGATTTAACTTCTGCCAATGATTTAATATTTAATTTTAAAATACAAGGTATTTCCGAAATTAATTAAACACTAAAAACAAAAATCTTAGCAAATTGCTGAAATATTTTGAAAATTTGGCAAGAAAACCAAAATATCGATTACTAAAAACAAGTGCCAAAAAATCGACAACAAAGATAATAGAAGAAAAAAGAAAAGAAAATGCTTTTTCAAACTTTCACTTAGATCTATTATTTATACTAGTACTGTTAATATCTCTCTAAGTGTATAAAATGTTTGTATAGTTTCGAATATCGTACACTTTATGTACTTTCTATTGCCCAGTCTTATATATGAACATAATCATACCAAATTGCAAAACTCAGTGGCAGAAAGGCTTCAAACCATGTAATCAGAGTAAATATGTAATTTCTTAAAACAACAAAGCGATAATAACAAAAATATGTATAAAAACAAAAAAATTAGTACATAGAAATGTGTACGTATGTACTAAAAGTGTTATGTGCTGTTTCTAGATACCGATCGAGCAGTTTGAGCACAAATTTTACTTGTATTTTGTTATTGTAACAAAAACAAAATACAAGTAAAATTTTAACTCAAACTACTCACACGTTATCTAGAAACAACACATTAATGTTTAGTAATACTTACATCATAGACCAAGTATTGTAATAGCACTCCTAGTGCTTCAGTACTTTTTGCCTGATGTTCCGTTTGTTTTTGTAATTCATGGAGCTGTTGTTGCTGCTGCTCAAATGTCTGATAGTTCAATGACCCATTATAAGAATGACGATTTAGACTTTTCAATTGTTGTAATTCATCATTCAATTCCAACGACGAATTATTGGTGATTGTATCCTCCGACAATTGTTGATGTTGCTTTTGTAATAGCAATTTGCGACCTGCTGATGTGGTGGAGGATGTTGTAGAGGAATTTAGAAGTTTTGATTGAAATTTCTGGAATAATTAACATTATTTTGTATTTAGTTATAAATCTGTTACAATTTTTTGGCGCATAATTATTCACGCTATAAGTTTACCTTTTCAATTGTATTGTTGGATGCTGTAACAGCTGGCGAGGCGGGTGTTTTTTTATTATTTATTATTGTTGTGTTTGTTGCATTTGTTAGTATTGTCGGTGATGATGTTCTAGAATTTGTCCTGGTACTTGCTGTTGTAGATTTCTCATGTATGTTATTGTTATTATTAATGCCCACAACAACATTGCTACCACCATTCTCCTGATGCTCGGAAGTTGTTGCTGACGATGTTTCCGGTTTGCCAATTGCTTTACTGTTGCTTGTTGGTGTTGTAATCGTTTGATTCAATATGCGATTATGATCTGCAAATACAAGATGAAGAGAAAGTTATTAAAATAAAACAAATATTGACTTATACTTTTATGAATACAACTTTGGAGTTTTTTTCTCACATTTTTCGTCAGAAAACGTGATTCACTTAATGAATCTTTATTATCGTTTTATTTGAAATTTACTATAATTATGACATCTATCTAATTTAAGTTTAGAGTTAAATTTGATATTCGAAAAAACGGATTTGTTAATATATTGTATTGTATTTCTCTTTTAAACTGAAAACCGTGATAAAAAATTATATTTATGCTTGAAGTAATGAAGTAATTATAATAAGATACATATAAGACTCTTTTTCCAGCAACATTTGTTTCAAATCAAAGTTTTCATTAAATACTTATATACTATATATGGGTAATTTCGTGATACTATTGGATAGTAGGAAAGACACAAATTTTCAGCTCTATCGGTCAAGAACTGCCTGACTTAGAGGGGGTTATACAAGGTTTTTTCAAATGAGTGTAAAGGGTGAAATAATTTTTTTTTGGAAGCAGTGAAAAAATAGCTATATAAACTCCTTTGGAAAATTTGTGTCTGGCGTACTATCACTTAACACGAAATTACCAATATGCAGAAATTTTGTGAACAGAAAAACAAATTTACAAATCAGAAGGATGCTTATGAAATTTTTAATGTTTAGTGGTCATAATCAACTACATATAAAGGTGTAATGACTAAGTGGTGCTGCACAATAATAATATAATTTTTTCATTAATTAATCATTAGAATGATGACATTAATCAAAAGCTTTGCCAGCTTTTTTGACAAATCAAAACAAAATTATTCAAATACTTTTTTTTGTTGTTACTTTAAGGGAAAGTTATGTTACAAGTTGAAAGTTGTAAAATATGAAATTTGTGTAAAAAATGAAATAAACATTTTTTTAATTTGTAACTATCATTAATAAGTTTTAACTTTTTGTTGTTGGCTTTAAATTGCAAAATATAATTCGCATTATTTATAATCACTAACATTTCCAAAGAAAATAGAAAGAAAAAACTCAGCACGAGATATTAAAAAATAAACAAAAAACAATAATGAATTTGCATTAAATTCATGTTGTTCATCAAGGTGATTTTTTTATATTTTGCTAAACTTTTTGTGATTTTGCCAGTCACATCAATTTGTATTTAACACTTACAACTCTATATAATACGATGTTGCTTGCTGTATACTTGTTGCTGACATATATGGAAAACATGTTAGTTTTTGTGACATTTTATGTTTTAAGCATTTCTGTATTTAGTTTGGTGTTTTTCGTTTCTAAAAAAGCGCCTGACAACTTGAATTAGTTGGTTGGATTGGTCGTCAAATTGTTGAACCAAACACCCAACATGTCTAGGCGGGAAGTACTTTCTTTATTTATTAGCAATTATTGGTATTCGCATTAAGACTCGTTCAATTTTTATTAAGTGAACTGAAAATAGTGTTAACGTAGTCTTTTTTTTAAAACTTTTCTCTTCATTATTAAAAACAATTTCATATATTAAAGCCTACTAGCTGTATTATATTTTCATCAAGCATTGAAGCATAAATATTTATAAAATTTGCACAAAAAATGGGTAAAAATGCGGTAGTTGCAAGTTGAAGTTCACTAACATTTTGTTGTATTTTTATTTTGTAATTTTATATTTTAAAAACTGTTAAGAGACTTGGGTTACAGTTTCCTTATATAAATTTGTCACATGAAATTTAAAATCCGCCATTAAAATCGAGGTGTTTACAAACTGAAATTCATACAACTTCAAAAAAAACGAAATTTTTTCTTTTAAAACTGTGTTTTATAAAACATTTATATTAAAAAAAGTTAACTAAAGATAAATATAATTTCGTATTGTTTTTCCTTACACATTGAAATTATTCAATTCTAATCCATTATAGATCTTAAAAATATATTAAAAAAAAAACTACTATTTACTTAACACATCTGAACTATAAGGTTAAATCATTGTGAAATGGAAACATTAACAAATACACATGCAAATTTATAACTTGCATTCTCATCCCCTGTATCCTTGCCCTTATCGTGTATATTCAAAAGATTAAAAGACAAAAAGATATTACACATTCATCATTAATGAAAATCTTTGAACTGTTCATTGCATGTTATTCCTTAGTTCAATTCATTATTGATTTGAAGGTTTTTGAAAATATTTCAATATTTTTAAGGATTCAACGTATTGCCACACGACATAAATGCAATATTTTTAGCCTTGAATAATTGACAAAATTCAACAAAATTAACAAAACTATGAAAAACTCATTAATGAACATCGAGGACAATTAGCGATACACTTGTGATGGATGGTCATTGAAAAGAAAACAAAACTAGTTGGACGTGATGTTTTACTGGCAGCTATAATAAAGCGTATAATTTGTTGTGAATTTTTGTCAACATACATTTTCTCTCTCGAACACTCTCGTCACGTATACTAATGAACAACTTGTTTAATATCCTGATATTAGACAACAAATTTAGGCAGGTAACTTATAGGCAAAAAGGAAGGCAAGTATGATGACACACAAGTGCACAGCAAGTAATTTTTCATAAATGGAGAATGGTGTTCACTACACAACGAGCGTATAGTATTTGAAAGTTATATTACCGCCCATTGAGTCATTCATCCTTGTGGGAATGTGTTAGATTTTCATTGACAAACCCATCGTTTAAGTTAATGTTGGTGATGAAATTTATATCGATTGAAAATAGAATAACAATTTAAAAACATTTGCTTTATAAAATCTATTGGATGTTAAGGAAAATCCATCCATAGACAACACAGTTATTCTCAATGTTTAAAAATCCTTCGCCATGCTGGTTAATATGCGTTTTTTTGTTTGGTCCATACTCTTACTGAGTTTTAGAATTGAATTGTTTTAACAAAAAGATTTCAAAATTTTACTTGGCCACAATTCCATAATAGCTGGAAATACTTAGTTGGTAAAAGGAAACTGTGGGACTTCTTAGCATTACATGCAATATTTTTTAGTTTTGTAATATTTTACATTAATTATTTTTTAAAATTGTTATAATAACAAAATTGCAATTTACAAGAATTTTACAGCAAAAAACTAATTTAAATTAATTTAAATTAATACAATTCTTGTTATAAATTATGACAGAATTGGTTAAAATTTAACACTTTTTAAGTTTTAATCAAAATTTTCAAATTTAAGAAATATTTTCTATTTGCTTTATACTTTTCACATTTTTTCATAACAAATGAGTTATTTTTAGTATTTTTCCAATAAATACAAATGCAAGTTTATAAGCAGAAATGTGTGCCATACTGTCTGCCAAACTATAAATGAACAACAACCGATAAAGGTGTGGTTGGGTTGCATGTCTTTTAAGTGTACAATTGTATTTTTTAGCAAACAAATATATTTTAATGTGACTAGAAGCGCAGAAAAACCCCCAAACACATTCTAAACATTAAAATATAATAGAAAACAAAACTGCATGCAAATTGCATATTGACTTAAAGTTTTGAAGTTCAATTATAGTTACTTGGACAGTCAGGCAATCGCTGCTTTATGTCACAAGACCCCAGGAGGATTTTTTAATATGGTTGTGATTATTAACTAATTTACCTAAATATTGTTTCTAGATAATTATTTACTATTTGGTTTCTTTTAACTATAATTCATAATAAATTTACTATAGACCACATCTACTCATATTCTATGATTTCTTCTAAACCAATTTCATTAGAGCTATTTAATTCTTTATTTTAAAAAAATGTTTAGAATAAATTGAAAATGTCCAAAAATGACACATGATGTCATAATGCAAACATTTTCAATTACAAAATCTGACAAGTCTCAAACACAATGAACCACTTGAATTTCAGTAAGACAGACAATCTGATTAAGTTCTTTTTAAATTATATAGAAAAAACATGCAGTTTATTACGCTTTATTAGTGCAATTTTAATTAAACAATTAACAAGATACAAACACGGCTGATTAAACAGTAAAAATAACTGCATCATTTATTCATACAAAATTTGCATACAAATTTATTTAGATTTAATTACACAAAGTAAAATAGACACAAAAAAAATATTTTTTTTAATTTTCCAATGAATACCCTAAATAGTTTCATATTTTCCACTACATTTGCTGTAAATATGTTTTAATTTGTCACAAACAATATGAGCAAATTTCCTAATTGGTTTTGGAATTTCTACTGTCCAACGAGAATTCCACGACCGGTGGTCGCTGTGCAACAACATGTCATATTTGCACTCATTGATATTTTAGATACTCAGGTGTGTTAAAATTTGTCAATGAAATTAACTTGTCGTCGTTGTCATTGTCGGCGTCCACCAAATCACACAGGATAAAATTGTCAGCCAATCATCACTATGCTAAAATGCACATGCTGTGTTCTGCACTTTGCCTTTATATCGGTGTCTGCCCAACATGTGTGTCGGTGGTATGGTGCGCGTTATACAGCGTTTCTTTTACACTTTACTGTGACGCGCCACCATATGTTTTCCCATATACCGAAAAACACGTCAACAAAAAACCAAGCTGTAATGAGCAAGTATTTTGTACTTTCAATAAATGGAAATATGGAATGAATAAGAAAATTTGGGTAAATACAGGGAATTTACATTGAGAGATATTTAAAGCGTAAGTTTTGTAAGAGTTAAAAATTGGAGTCATTTGGTAATTTTTTAAAATTAATAGTTTTTTTATTTCGGCTTAGAAGCTTAGTTTAATACTTTGTAATTTAGATATTAGTTTGATCTGTGTGTATCAATACAATGCGTTACTGGCGTTTAATCTAAAAGTATTATTGAAAATGTGACAATATTATCCAACTTGTGGTGCTAAAGCCGAAATTTGGTCATTCTCCTAATTTATTTTTTTATTATTTGTGTTAAAATATGTACTGGTAAGTAACTATATACATATGTATGTATATTAAAAGCTTTTCATGGAAACATAATAAAAATTA